TGGGGTTTGTTGGCAGTGCTGAGCCCAGGGAAGCGTGGTTAAAATTCACACCTGCCGATTTTTCGATGCAAGAGAGAAAGAGACCCTCCAGAAATTCCAGGCCGTGTGTGTGGCTGTGCAAAGGCGAAAATGATAAAAATATTTCTCTCGCCCAGTTATAGTGTATATAGGGAGAGAGGAAAGCTGATGAAAGAAGGGACGAAGAGCCGCTTTTGGAAGTATGGAGAGGCAAGAAGTTGCCAAGTCCGGTACGGAGGAAATCGTTGCGAGTGGTTGACATTGCAAGGTCAACAAGAGAAGCGGAGAACTTTTCAATATACCGGACATCGTTTTCCTCCACACGATCTCACGCGGGAATTCTTGGAAGATTATATATCATGATTCTCTTTGTGCTGCTCAAATACTTCAACTCTGCACGAGTTCTGATATCTCTGAAGGAGTCCATATCTTCGGATTGTTTTCTTTGCACCCAAAGATAAACAGAGGCGCCCTTTTGGAGATGATTTCTGCCCACGTAGATTTCTCAGGATTCACAGTTAGTGCATCTAAACTGAGATTTTTGAGAGGCATTAAAGGACCCTGCAATTAAATGCAAATCACAGTTAGTATGTGCCTCTCATAAGACGCGTCGACAATCATTTTAAATGGAGGAGCGATATAAATTGCCCGAGACGATCGCGCAGAAGTGAAACATGGTGAAAGAGACGTGAAAAAAGAGTACAAGATCACTGGAAAGAAGGTTAGAAGTTGCTTAAGAGTAATTTTCCGAAAATCGAGGAGAGACAGCGTAGAAAAAAGAAATTATAATGATTTACCACACATTTTCTTCAAGCGTATCGTCAGAGAACCGAAAAATATGTCAAAGACATTCTCCGAAGTGAGACATCTCTGAATATACGGGAAAAAGCCAACTTCTTTCACATTCCACATGAAGACCAATGCAAGATCGTGGATCTTCAATTACACTTCAAATATTGGAATTTCAATAGAGCAAACACGATTTTTCTATTATAACCATTTCACCCATCTCGCCGTGCAACGTCTTCGAACAGTGCTTTTTTAGGGTCTTTCTTTCTCAGGCAAAATTCAGCCGTATGATCATCATCATCATCACTTCACTGACTCCACACTCCATGTCTCTATTCTAATTCCCTCATTATCACAATTGAGAAATTGTGATGAATTTCCCATATTCACACCTCGACTGTAGCGCGAGGAAAAAAGTTATTATTTATACGCACCTATTAGAATCAACTCCATATATGATCATAAGATTAATCAATGTGATCGTCACGAAGACCAAATGGATGATAATCAAATTCATTTTCCAACCATTCTCTCACCGTCTTGCCATAAATTTGTCGGTGTTTTCGGGCCCGCACACAAGAGATATTCGCGTAGGTGTCATCTATACGGTATTTCGTAAGCCACAAAACATTAGGTCACTTTCATTTAGTGGCTTTCCACCGCGCCAAGCCATCATGGCTTGGAAGGCATTCGATAACTTGCGCTCCAACAGCGACCATTTGTCTTTTTTCTGGCGCTTGTTCAACATGGAAGATTGAAGGTAATTTTTTTAAATCAATTATACCAGCCTCTGATTGCATCACAATCAAATAATTAATGATCGACCATTGAAAAATCGGTGAGCATGTGTGAAATATGGAAATTAAGGTGCACAAGAAAATCAATATAATGCTTTTTCAATATCAACTGACTTTCAATGCAAGATCAATTACTGAAATTGGGCAGAAATAAACTTTTGCATGTATTATTTCATAAGATCGCAAGATCACACGATCACTCTTGGTCAGGTAGAAAATTGAGAGTGATTTCACGGTAAGGCGATTGCGACAGGAGCTCTAATCATGCAAACAAACAATATTTATGGAAATTTATTGTTGCTAATGATTTGTTTAATTCATAATTTATTAATGTCACCTCAAAATAAACATAATTTGCAAAAATTTACAAATAACCGTTGATCAATAAACATTTCGATCAATCTGTATTATTATCTCGCATTTCCATCCAATTTCGTGCTGATCAGTGTTCATTTTGCATCGATCTTGTGTGAGAACTCTGCCAATCAGATCATCCCAATGATCTCCACACTGTGGATTTGGTGGATGCCTAATCGTCACATTTGGTAGTGCGGTAATTAAATGGCTCTGAAAAATTATTCCAATATGGAAATTATGCAAAAGGCGATCGTGTGTGATCGCATGAATTGGGCAAAGTTAGAATATTGGTGAAATATATCGAGTCACTGTCCAGAAAGGCTGAAACAAACTTTGTCGTATAAAACACACCTGCCGTAATTTACATGTTTTCGAAAGAGGAAAAAGAAGGCAAAAATGTAACTTATGTACCACTTATTATTTACTGGTTTTCGCAGCAAAATTGCCATAATTGAAAAGAGGGGTGTTCCGACAATAAAAATGTATATGCAGAAAACCTCAACTATCCGACCGTTGGCCATTCAACATCGATCTTCGCTTCGGCAAAATTTATATTCTGGAATATGACTGCCAACCTATGGAAGGAATTCCAAACAAAAAGACAAAAGAATCTTGCCCCACGGAGAGATATTCCCCTCGAGATGCGGATGCTTTTCATGTGAGAAACACAAAATGGACAGGTAAGAACACAATCAGGATGACTCAGTCACGATCACTTCTTGTCGAAACATGTTCATACCTGCTGAAATCACGAATGCCATTCCTAACTGCAGCCAAAGAGCGCGGTTAAGGTGTGAGTTGGATGTTGGATTAGTGTGAGTCCATGCGATCACCCTTTCTCATGTGACTCTGCGATGGCGCGATTAAGTAATGCAGAACGATCAATGACTCCTCTCCACTGATTGCCTGGGTGACAAACTTTTCTGACTCCGTCATCAGCGTCTCAGAAGATTACCCAAATTAATTCATGCTCCCAACTCACGGGTAATTTCTAGGGCGAGAGAGTGACTATGAAAGTTGCTTCTTTATGCATTCGATGCTTTTCGGTTGCCTAATTGCCCGTAGTATGAAATTGAGGAGAGGCAAGACAGAACGAAATATTAATTAGAAAGATATCATGGTGATTTTAGGCGATCGTGAACGCTTCAGGAAATTCGGGCGTTCTACAAAGCACGGAGAAATTCAAGTAATTTGCGTGGCATCTTAGGATGTCGTGTACATCATCTATCTGAGATCAATGGGGCTAATCATGCGGCTGGAAATGTGATACTGGATCGCATTACTACATTTATTGGTTTTTGCACGAGATTCACGATATGACTGCCCCCTGAGTATCACCGACACTGTACAATTCTCTCTCTCACCATTGTGGCCTTCTTCGACCTTGCTTTTCTCCTTCTCTTACCCACATTGTTTCATTCACTCCACCAGCGAGATCGCGAGCGGTGCGAGTGGAATGGCACCAAGAGGCACAACCACGAGAAAGCCAAGACATTTCCTCCAGCAGAATGCAAAATTCTTTTGTTGCCTGCCTTTTTGTGCACATAGGCGAAAGACGAAGAAATATAGAGCCGGTTCTTGAGCTTGTCTCAAAATGTGCATTATGTACACAACATATATAGCTATATTGCATATTCACATTCTCTCTCCCTCTTTCTCCGTATTATTCTTAAATCAGCAAGACAAAAAAATCCGTTAATGTATACTGTTAGCCAAATGAGTGAAAAGATAGAGAAACATGGTATAAATCTTTGCAGTGTTTTTTCTCTGCCTTCAAATCTATAGCGACTGCTGGTACTCGATAAAAATTGCTCTGCAGCGAAGAGCAAATTAACACAGTCTTGAAGCTACTTGAGATCTCAATTTGATGGCCAGAAACACACTCACTGAGAGAAGACGCGTTATTTGACTTATTGAGATCTTTCCGGAGCTCCTCAACTCTCTGGCTTTTTTTGTCGTCCAATGATCTCTTGCAGAGGCTGAACATCATCTCCTCCAGAGGAAGACTTACAAAGTAGAAATTGCCAAGTGAGTAAATAAGTGTTGAGTGTATGTGCAATGGATGGGCTTTTGTGCCACAATTCGATACATAGCATTCAATAATATCGTGTTTCACACAACATCTGTCTTTCCGTCCATCCTTCAATTTGAATCTACCCCATGCATTCTCTGCCAAGCCGCCGCACAAAAGCCCTATTCCCGCATTCCATCCAGAAAAATTACAAACTTCCTCCCGAAAACGTCCAGAAACATCTCACCCATTGTTTCGTCCTCCAAATTCTTATCTCAACTCCAAATTTCTCTATCTACATGAAACGTTTTAATGCTTGAATTCACACTATCTCAGATAAATTTGGAGTTTCACTGGTTATTCTGAGAAGGAAAAAAAACAGCATTTCCTGCCAAGATCAACAGAGATATTCCCAAGTCCTTTTGTAAGAGAGACATTTTTTTAATCTCATAGAAAATCGTGAATCACACTAAAATCATCATTTCTCTTTGGTCTCTCACACGGAGAATACAAATTCAATTCTTCAGCAAAATACAAATAAAATTGTTGCGAACAGAGACCAACTGGGAGGCAGATGTTCAAGAGGTTGGCCAAAGGTGATGTAATGACGACCAGAGACTTCGTGAGTCTAAATTAAATATCAACTGACTAAATCTTCTACAAGTTCGAAAGTGAGACTAATTCGCAATCTTTTACAGGAAATTCAGCACTTGAAGAGTGGCTCTAATTGCCTCAGCAAGAGTCCTGTAGGCAACACGTGTTCCAGGAGGAACGGAAGGACACATGACCAAGTCAAGAGGATGGAGAGGACCTGAAAAAAATAACAGCCCAGAGGCAAACACTCCCAATTCGTCACTGCTGGCGAGCTGTTGGAACACAAGCTACTTTTTCCCCTCTTCAAACGAGTTAACCACTGCCGCCTCGATACTGGAAACCTCTCTCGAGCCCACAGTCACGGGAAGAAAATCAGTTGCTTCTGAAACATTCGCCAGTGAAGACGCACCGAGAGAACTCGAGAGCTTCTTAGAAACCGACACTTGACAAGGGGACACAATTTAGTGAGTCCATTCGCGTGAGTGTGCAAGGAATTCCAGTGAGTCTTGCGATAAAGTGAACAGCGTGAGGTTTTACGAGAAGAAGGGAAGATACGCATCTTCCGCGGAACACTGAGATTATCATACACAGAGTAAATAAATCAAGTGGAGAGAAAAATGGTACGAAGTCTCTCACAGTGGACAAAAACACTGAGTTTCCCAGCACGAATTTCACCAAATAGAAATTCCAAAGAGTGCAACGTGAACGTTCATCCAATTACCCTACCACCACCTACACCGCCACGTAAATCGCAGAACAATCATCAGCAGCAATCATCCCAGGAGTCTCCATCGCCACAGCCAAATGTACCAATAACAGAAATTAGTCAAATTGTAAGTTCATGGGAGAGTCTGCACGATATTTTCCTCCTCATAAAACTTCTTCAATTGAATTTGCATAAGGCAACGAAATTGCAAAAATATTAGTCACAATCAGGTTTTCATGGGAGGTTTTTGGCCCACGAATAGATTCGCAACTGCGGCTGATCCGCGCCAGGTGAACGCGAAATCCACCTTTTCAGCTCTGCGAAAGACGCGCGCGCTGCCTTGCAAAAATATAAGGCAAAATTGTCCACTTGCCTACATCTCTTTTATATAATTATTGCCAGTGCAAGTCAAGTTTCTTGTATTTCTTCTTGCACACCCATTATCTTGGCGGTGTATGCAAGAAAATTACAGATATTCCCACGGATTTATCGACCAGCCAATGGGTGTGTATCGTGTGTATAGGTGACTTAATCTCAACATCACTGGGGCCAAATCAAATACAAGTTTCTATTTAAGATTGGCCGTTCTTTTCTGCCCCTTTCGACATGCCTTCAATTCACAAACACTTTTGGCACTGCTCCGATAGATGTGCTCTTTCACTCTACCATGCCAATACAAGATTCCACGGAGAAAAAGACCGATGTGTAGCATTTCACGAGCTGTTTTGAAATTGTCCAACAGCATAATTGGACACTATATCGAAAACTTCCACTCCACAACTGTATCAGCAAATGTTGTGTTGAAAACTATAATCTCAACGAAATGATAGTGAAAGGGGAATTGAAATATACATTCGACAATTTTTCATCTCTTCCGTGGTCACACAGTTCAGTTTGAAAAAGCGACCAATAAAAGAAACAGACAAGCACACAAGAATATTTCAATTGCCGGATATGATTCTCTTTTTTTTTGCTCTTTGTGTGTGCGCCTCTCTTTAATTCTCCGGACAATTAATGAGGGAAACATGACTGAAAAATTCTTTCGATGGGCACTTCCAGTGAGACATTGCGTGGATAACTGAAGATCCGTGAGAGATTCCTTTCATTTTCGCCAAACATTTTATATATGGTCTGCTGTCCCGATGCTTGTGAGACTACCCATAAAAGATCACTATAAAATGCTGAATCAAGAATTTGCAGTCGTGAAATCAATAACTTGTAAATTATGAGCTAGACATGATGTGGGAAAACTTGTTGCTGCCAAGTTTAATTATCTCTACACAAATAGCCTAATTATTTTCTTTTTCGCATTCCGTCGAAGGCTATTAAACACTTTAATCGGCTACGCAGAAAAAAACGATCGCATATAAGAAGCCTACAAATTGACCGAAAGTCACAGAGAACAAGCTCAACATGTTGAGTGGAAAAGTGAAAATTTTGGGGTCTCTAGAGGTCAATTTTCCTCTGAAACACCCTTGAAAAACACTCCGCTGGATCTTCTCACAATTATCTCAGCACTTTTAATCACTTCTCCATGCATTTGATTGGACAGCACACCAAAGTGATGCCCATTCCTCACAGCATTACATGGCTATTTATCAAATTTTATTGCACTTTTGCTTTAGAGAAAATATATATAGATTAATTGAGGATTAATTTAGGAGAAGAATGTGTATTCCGTTCTCTTCTTTGTTCCACGATCCCACTCTCATCGAACGAGAGAGAGAAGAAAAAACGCCAATACTGTGTGAAAAGATGATTGAGAAGGAAGTTGAGAATTTCACGGAATGCCTGAGACTCTCAACATCATTGATTCAAAGTGATAGATCACGAAAAGTATACTTTCAAATTTAATTACCACAGCAAAAGAGCGGCTTGTATTCAATGTTTGACGATTTTCACAGAATTTGAACCAAAAATCAACAATAGACCAATATTTATATAACAATTTTGATCATCAATCCTGCGGAAAACACATCGAATTGTGAGAAAATGGGATTGCATGGTAAATATTGGAAGTTTTTTTATCACAGCTTAGCAAAACACGTGATAGAGGAAAGAATAACTATCTCGCACGCTCCGCAAAATTGTCCCAGAATTCACAAAACAGCACGATTTCAGGGGAGAAAATTGAGAAAGTAAATACAAAGGGAGCAATATTTTTAGGGGTGAAAAATTAGTGGAAACGTTGAGTAATATTTTGATAGTGAAACCTATAAACCCAGTCCAATCGATAAAATGGATACGTAATAGTGGTTCTATTAGAAAGAAAAGAATTTTGGGTCAAAAGTACATTGATTGCTCAATTACGAAAATGATGGAAACCGTTTTGTTCCCGTTTTTCAAATTGGAGGTTCTTCAAATGCGATAAAATCAACAATGCGCCGCTCACATTAGTGGTCGAAAAATCAATTTGTATAGACGAAAGTGTTCCAGCTTGAAAAAAAATACATTTTCATCACCACAAAGCTCAATTATTCAAAATTGGAGATAATGTTAAGTACAGTGGGCAAACAAGCGAGGATCAGATTGTCGGGAAACTTCAATGATCCTCGTCGAATGATCGAATTTTTTTTATCTGTAAATACACAAAAATATTTCCAGAATGGAAGATTTCTTTCATTTCATTCGTCACACTGAAAACTCGCTCGTTGTCATCAAACAAACATCCCAACTATTGTGACTCACTGTGTGATCTCTCAATAAAGGGCGATTAGGTAAATTGTGCCGTTTGCATGGCCATTCAATTGAAGAGTTGAACTCTAAAGTGTCCAGCAAAGTCACCCCGGGAGTGATTCACAGTCACAGAGTGTGACTAAACCGGCAACCTTTGACACTCTTTCAGATCTATCCCGATCCAGATTCGGAGAAGGCAATCATGGGCTCCCTGGTGTTCTGCATTCACCACAAGCAGGGCTGCAAGTGGTCAGACGAGCTAAGGAAGTTGAAGGTGAGACAGCCTTATCAAGCTGAGAGCGAAAGAAGGGCGTCAGACTGATTGACTGTGCACTTTCAGGCCCATCTCAACACTTGCAAGCACGACGCCGCGAGGTGCCCAAATAAGTGTGGCTCCCAAATTCCCCGTATCATGATGGCAGATCACCTGGCCTTCACCTGCATCCAGCGGCGAGCTGTGTGTGAGTTCTGCAACATCGAATTCACGGGACAGGGTCTCGAGGTGGGTGTCGCACCTTTTTTTTGCGCAACCATTTTCTCTTTTTGAGCACGTTTTTATGTGGATTCACATATAATTGCTTTCGCTATCTAGGAACACACGGGCACTTGCAGCCAGGAGCCCATCTATTGCGAGGCCAAATGCGGCGTGCGCGTTCTCCGCGGGCGTATGTCCATCCACCGAGTCAAGGACTGTGCCAAGAGGATGCGACGCTGTGTCCACTGCAACCGGGAGTTCTCAGCAGACACCCTGTCGGCTCACGGAGCTTCCTGCCCACGCAGTCCCGTGCCGTGCCCTCAGCGCTGCGACATTGGCCCCATTCCGCGTGCCGAGATCGACAATCACCTGCGCGAGGAGTGCAAGGCCCTCACAATTCCCTGCACCTTCCGCGACGCCGGGTGTTCCTTCAAAGGCCCCCGACATCTGCTCGAGACGCACATCGAGAGCAGCATCGGCTCCCACCTGTCGCTGATGGTGTCTCTCGCGAGTCGCCAGGAAAAGCAGATCCAGCAACTGAAGGGCACCGTGGCGAAGCTCAGTACAAACTACACAGGGACACTGCTCTGGAAGGTCTCCGACTGGGCTGCCAAGATGGTTGAGGCGAAGAGCAAGGACGGATTGGAGCTCATCTCTCCGCCGTTCTACACCAGCCAGTACGGATATAAGCTACAGGCGTCGATGTTCCTTAACGGAAACGGCCCAGGCGAAGGCACTCACGTGTCCGTGTACATCAAGGTGCTCCCCGGAGAGTACGACGCCCTCCTCAAGTGGCCCTTCGGCCACTCCATCACATTCACACTGTTCGAGCAGGGCAACGCTGGCAGTCAGGGCGGTGTAGCCGAGTCTTTCGTGCCTGATCCCACCTGGGAGAACTTCCAGCGTCCCTCCACCGAGCCAGACACCCTGGGATTTGGCTTTCCACGCTTCATCTCGCACGAGCTCCTCACCAGACGACCGTTCGTCAAGGATGACACCATCTTTCTACGTGTTAAGGTGGATCCCAGCAAAATTGTGGCGGTTTAGGAGTCATCCAGCATCAATTGAGTGTAAATACTGTGTATTTCTACTTCGGATATTTCGTCTACTTACGATTTTAGACTTAAGGACGGCATTTATTAGTACGTAGGAGAAAATTACGGGGAGTTGGAGAGTGTTGATAAGCAGATTTATGGATGAGATGCAGAGAATTTATTATTTAAATTCCAAGTATAATTTCTTTGTTATATTTAGAGACATAAAAAGACTAGTAAAACTAATTTAAACCTACCAAGAGTAACATAATAGTAATTACGACAATTTCGCAAGCTCGCTTCTCACTTTATCCTAGACATCTGCTGTCTGCACAACCTCCGATTCAGCCCATTAACCCATTGTATAGATAGACCAGTAAGACGATTAATTGTGTCCATAAGTCGCAAATTATGGTACATTAATTACCGAAAAGGCCTTAGCGATCAACAGTAACACCAAATTTCTCTCTAATATTTTTATTCTCAATTTTTGTGTGACTTTTTAATCGTTTATCTTCGCTGGAAATAAACCAAAGCGGTTTGGCGGGCTTTGTCACGCATTGGCCCTCAATTCTCATGCAAAGCCCACAAAATCAGTTCGACAACGAGTCATTAATTTAAGTGTGTGTAAATAACATTGCAAGACGAGCTACTAAAACGCAAGATAATCTTACGATCTTCGATCTTTATCTGTCTCAACTCTAGCGCTACTTTTGTGTGACTCTCCGCGTGGGAGAGTGGTTTTATTTGTATTCATCTCAGAGAAATGAAAATAAAGAATGATGAATTTGTACATTATCTATCTATGCACTTACTTGGCGAGCAGACCAGTCTGGGATTGCGTTCAAGAGTGTGTGCTGGAGTGCATGTTGTGAGATGTTGAGGAATTTCTCGTGCGACTGGCATTGTAGGCGGCTTGCTCTGCTCCCTAGAAATGCGAGAGAATCTCAGGAATTTCACAGTCTCCGCAGTAGGTTTGTCACAGTTCTTACCTGCTTTAGGCGTGCCAGAAAGTCAAGAGCGTGAGGGAACAAGGGAGTCCAAGTGTGGATCTCTAGGCTTGTCAGGTTGTTCAGCTTAATCTTCTGTTCCTCACCACGAATGAAGCTGTCCATGAAAGAGCGAAATTTCGAACTCCTGACATCATAAATATCCTTGATAAGTGTCCGGATCTCTGACGATGCAGGAATATCCTCAGCAGCCACCGAAAGAAGCAGTTTCGTTACCGGCATGTAGTGACTATTTGGCATCTTCACAAAACCACTGCAAAAGAGATGCAAACATGTAAGGAAATTTAAAAGAACAATTACTAAGGCTTTCTCATACGTTTGTCGCTTCTCTTCCTCCTTCAATTCCTCCAAGTCGTCTATGTTCATCCAGTCAGGGGCCACAAAACGGCATCTCTGCCGCTTCCTGAGGTGAACACCTAACCACAAAGGAACGTGCACCGGCAATCCAGCGCGAAAAGGGCCCACACTGCCAGATATCAAGTAGATTGCATCACAGGTAAAGTTGGGGATGACTCCCACAATTGTGTTTTCAGCCAGAAACTCTATTTCGCTGGGCTCCATTTCGAAGGAAATAGGGAAAACAACAAGAGACCAAAGCAATAAACCGAATTGTGACTTTTCCGCCAAAAGTACTGAATCCTCAAACTACATACAGCGCCAGTGGTAAAATTTGAAGGCAGTGAACCCGGCTGAACGCATTCCATCCCCTAACCAAGAATTAGAAATGCAGTATTTAGAAACATTTAAGTCATTTTAGCTTCTGAACATGCTGAAAAAATATATTGTGCAGTGATTGAGACGACAGAATATATCATTGAAAATTATTTTATTGTATTTTGGTAATTGTGATGGATCCTCTTAATTCACAGCCAACGCCAGTGGCAAAAATTATAAGTCATATTGTTTTGTTTGTTCGACTGACAATTGTGTGTGAGCAAAATATTTTGTGAAAAGTTTATTTTTCTGTAGAGAATATCTTGAAAACAGCAATAAATCATGTAAGAATTCATTCCTGAAACTGTGTAGAGCATTACTTACGAGAAATTGTTCACTTTGTAGCTATGGATTGGATAAAAGTGGAGGATATTGAAATTGACGACACTGTGGCTCAGGACAGTAATTCCGGAAGTGATCCTCTGGCCACTGTAAATTCTACCACAAATGGCGATGTTGACGATGCCGATGATGCAGGCGAGGCGTCAGAAGCGGTGACAGCTCAGGAGGGATCATCCTCAAAGCGACCGGAGAAGCGGAGGAACAGCATGAGCACAAATGAGTTATACACGAACATCAAGAATCGCCGGAAGGTGGTGAAACGCATAGCATCTGGACTGAGACAAGAACTGAACATATTGGAGAAACGGCGGAAGGACATTCATAATGAGTTCATGCAACTGAAGGCCTTAAATGAGTACTACAAGAAGCTGGAGAGAAGCGTGCTGCAGATCAGACAGCATAAGAAGGCCAAATGAAATTCCAGACCTCATGTAAGATTTCTATTGACAAAAACCACGGGAGAATACAAAAGATTCCACAAAGAGGAGATTACAGCTTGGATTTTTGAAAGGGGAGGACGTCCCACCACCAGTTGGCACGCTCCAAGGCACCGGGATTCGTCATAAATTCATTCTGGAGATTCTGGTAGAGAAGTCCGTCGGACTTGGCGATGACAGAGTTGAGGACGTAGTCGGGGGGCGCGAGGGAGTCCGCCACCGTCACGGCGTCTGCCTTGAGGGCGCGACAACTGCTGAGTAACTGCGTGCGAATGGCCTCGGCGAAGTGGGCACCAGAAGCGAAACTGCCCTGATAGAAAGCCACCATGTGACGATCGATCACCCAGAGGCCGTATACTTGGTGGATGCATTCTAGAGTGGGCTTCACGCTCGCGGGCACGTCCGACTTGCGGCAGCGCAGTCGGAAACTGCTAATGGCGTAGAACTCAGCGTAGATGATGGAGAGATCTTTTGCCTTGTACACTTGTGTATTGTTCTTTGCCTCGAACGAGCACGCCCCGTTCGCCTTGGCCTTTCGCACGTCCTCAGCGATGGACTGCATGAGCCAGCACATGAGCCACTCCAGACAGTGGTTGATGACTGGGAAGAAAAAGATTGACTTTAGCACTTTCTGGTATAGAATTACAAATATTTGCATGCTGCCTCGGCACGTTTTCAGCACCAAAAACACTTACATTGCCACGAAGTGACTTCAAAGCGTTGCACGAGGCTCTCGAAATTACTCTGGAGGATCTCTTCGCGGCGCTGAATAAAATTCACAGTGCCCAGAGGGCTCTCGACACCCTCCGTCCACTGACGAAGTAGCCAATTAGAGGCTTGCTGTCCCAGCACGTTGTTGTCACCCTCGTACGTGAGACAGGCGTCGTGGTTGTTCCGCAATTCACCCAGATTCGCCGCCTTGAGGTATCCATGGCCCCCGCAAGCCTCTCTCGCCTCTTGTATGGCGTCCCTGGCCGTCCAGGTGCACATGGGCTTCGAGGCGGACACAAGAGCGTGGATCTCGCCAACGCTCTGCGACAGCAGATCGATGCCGTTGGAGTTAGCCTCGGATTTCTCAATGGTCCTGAGGTAGATTTCCGTGAGGGAGTAAACGGACGTCTTAAGTACGCAGGCGGCGGCCAAGAAAGGGAAGATCCGCCATTGCTGGAAGTGAGAGATGTGATCCTAAGTCTAGTAGGCTATTGAAAGATATTATCATTCACTCACGTGCAGCTGATACTCGATGATTGGCTGCTCTGGTCCGTTCTTGTCCGGTCCAAATTGCTTCCGGATGGCGGCGTAGCGCACAGCAATGACGACAGAATGAGACAAAGTGTTCGTAGCCTCTTGCATGATGCCCAATCGGCCAGCGGAGAAGCCCTCGAGTGCCGCTCCTAGAATCTTGCTTGGCTCACTGAACACACTCTCGTGTTCTCCCTCGGGAGTCACGCCAGCCGTGCGGTTCAGAAGATTCTCTCTTGGCACGCGATATTGCGTGAACATCACGAATCCATTATCAATGCCATTCAGCCCGATCTTTTCGCCCATGTCGCCCACAAGCACGCCTGGATAAGGCTGCAGTGTTAAGGGATTCCGGATGGGCACCAGCAATCCGTGCAGACCATGACTCTGTCCGTCGGGCGTGATAAGATTCGCAAACACAATGGCGGTTGTGGCCGTTTTGCCCAGATTGCCGGCCCAGCACTTGGCAGCCTCGAAGTCTGGCGTGTTGATGATGAACTCCTTCTTCTCCGGGTCATACGTGGCGGTGGTGCGGACGCGTTTCGTGTTACTCCCGTGAGAGACCTCCGTGATGGCCAGGCATGTGACTATCTCACGAGACCAGGCGGCGTTGTAGAACCAAGAGTGCTGCTCAGTTCCCATAGCGCGCAGGGCGTTCTGGAACAGACCCACGCCGACTGCGATCTTGACGGATAAACTGGGACAGATCGCATGAAGGGCCTCATTGACGCTCATCAGGTAGCGATACTGCGAGACAAGGGGGAATTATTGGTAGTGTTGGAGGGAAATTGTAGTGTATTCAGTGACTCACTCTGGGCAGATATCCCATGGCGTAAACCTCTGGAGGGACAATGTCCAGCTTCGCGATGAGCATCATCTGCTTCGCTGCGATCTTCTTCTGCTCATCCGCACTCGGAGTTGTCTTGCTCTTGGCGAACAGAGGCTCAGACTCCAGCATCTTCCAGACCTTGTATTTGAGCCTCAGTGAGTGGATATTCTCAAGGACTGCCTTGAGTTGCCGCCAGTCGAAGGCACTCTGCTTCCGATGGTTGTCCAGCGGACCCGGAAGCCAGTCCGGAATGAAGCTCAGCTCACTGGATGGCGGTTCTGACATCGTGCAAAAGTGATCACGGGCGACTTTCCTGAAGATACTACACAGCGGAAAAAATGAAGAAAGTGTTCTGTTAGTCACTGAGGTACTAAATCGAAAACTCCCAAAAATTCATGAGCCTCTAATTAACGCTTCGTTAAGCACGAAGTGGTTCTCAAAGTTCATCAGCAGGAATATTAATTCAACCTCTAAAAGTAAAGTAATTTATTGAAGCCAAACAAATACCAAAGGATCAAATCATGTGGGATTTTTCGTATGTTCATGACCCTCCAAAAAAGACCAACTAATGTTCTTTTGTAGCAGTAACTTCACATTGCCAAGTTTTAAACAAAAATCTCTCATTAACACCTTTATCTATGCAATTTAACTGTATTATCATAAACTTATTTTTCTGACAAATGGTGCTATTGAGTAGCCATAGAAAAAAGATTAACTCTAGTGTTCGGAATGGTTTCCCAGAAAATGTTTATCGCGCTTTTTCTGTGTAATGAGAAAACCCCAGTTTTTTTTTATTACGATACTAAACTTTCCAGTGATTTAATCTGCAATTTTTGCTCATTTGTCACCAAAAGTGACCAGAAATTGGTCATTTTTCAGGTCAATTACGTAAAAAGCAATAAAGTGAAGTCTCATTTTGGGAATGAGAATATTTCAGTGGATCTCCAACGGTATTCTTGTAAAGCTCTTCATCCTGTTTACTACGCGTCTGTGACTCTGGAGAAGCCAGAAAAGTGTGAATGGAAGATGATTCCTCTCTGGCAATTGCCAGTCAATTGCTGAGCCACTGGTTGAATGACACACACACTCATTGATAAAAAAAATCGCCGTTTTTCAGTCGCCTCACAATTGAATAATCCACACTGTGGGCTTCTCCAGAGAGGCCTTCACGTTGTGTCGCGATAAATTGAATTAGACAGTGTGCAGTTCTATTATATTGTGCCCACCAGACGGAATTTTTATGCTGTACAATAGTTGTGATATTACAGCCATGTGGGTGCGATTTGAGGCGCGCAGAACGTGAGGAACGGAACGGAGAAAATGCCAACACATCAAGCTCTTCACAGCTCAATTGATTCTCTGATAAAAGGGAATTTTTCTCTCCTCTGCAGAAAAATTGTGCTCCACATTTCGCAAAGGCGTTCTCGAATCGTGCCTCTCGAGAGAATTTACACAATTCTTACGCGCTCTTGTAAATATTTGCATAGAAGTATTTCGTGTAGTTTGTTCCACAATGTGATCATATGAGCAGAGGTGGGGAAGATTACACAGTTTATGGAGTTATGGCCGAAGTTTATTTTTGGAAGCTTAGAGAGAACCTGCTCCTGTCCGCTTTGTGTTTCACTCCGCATTCTCTACGCCTCGACACATGTCCCGACAATTGTCTACGCAGTCGAGAAGCCAACACTGGGCCGAGGCGAAAAAATTCCACCCGGAGAGCGCCAAATGTGAGCAGAGCGAAATTGCAAGAGACTCACCGCGCTTCTGGACTGCGAAGGCTCACTCGTGAAAAAGACTGTGAGCACGGTGACTAATAGACGCTAACCAGGAATTGTGCTAGATGGGAGGAAGTTGATGGAAATGTCCTTGACGGAGTGGCTATGGTTACGCAAAGTCGCCCCACTGGTCGATTTTCAATCGGCTGATGGCCAGAGCGCGAGTGAATCCTGAGACTATCGCCAGTCACATTGCAAGGGATGAAATCACTTGGCGAGATCACTATAAATACACGATGCTCTGAGATGTTGGGCCTCTTCTGCACTTCCCTCTCGCTCGCACTCGCGCACTGCTGAGCAGACGATGCTTGGCACTTCCCACGTGAGGCACAACCGCGAAGAGACTGAACGCACACGCCAGCATCGAGCAATACTCAGAAGCCGGCCGGCTCCGCATCCAACTCCCGCTGAGAGCAAGAGAGCGAGAGAGAGCAGGAAGGACAGAAGAGGCTGGCAAGTGCCGGATGGACGGTATATTCTGTGTTGTTGAACACTATAAATGGCTAAATACACACAGAATAGATTTCATCACTTGGATTTCATTGGGAGAATCTCTCGGGTCATTTAAATTTGATTTATGTGAAGAAACATTCGCTTCTTACCCGAATTCTCTTACTCGTGCGCCCCTCGGGATGAGCAGGTGAGAGCCAAACACGCTACAACTCAATAGGGAGAGAATGGGAGAAAATTCATGAAGAAGCCGGAGAGACAAAAAGTTGCGCATACTGAATCCACAAGTATGATAAAAAGAGGTTTCAGAGAGCAGGAGCAAGAGACACGCTCTTCCGTCTGTTGCCGCCTCTTTCGCTCCGTGGGGAAATCCTCGCGGGAGATGAGCTTGTGGCGCGCCTCGCATGAGCAACAGTTGTTCTTTGCGCACCAACACTCGCATGATCCCAGAGCCGGACGTGCGGACGCCTGGCGAAAGCTCGACGGCAGCTTTTGGCGTCTGGCGGCGCCGAAATCACGCAGAGATAAAGCCTCCTCGACACGAGCAGAGATTTAATGGCAATTGTGGCCACTTGTGGCTTTATCTCATAGTGAAGAGTTTTGAGGAGGATTTTTTATGATCTCTCGAGCCGATATTTTACATAATAACCTTGCAGAGACTGGTTTTCTAAGATATCTCACTAATTCTCTATAATTTATAATAATTTGATCTATCATTTGTGTGAATTTGCATTGTTTCAGTTAAGCAAATATATTTGCCGTAGAACTTTCGAATATGCTCGAAGATGAATTGTAAATTTGCTTGCTCGACAATTTAGAAAGCAAATATTGACGGTGTGAAAGAAAATTCCTCCTCCAGGCGATATTGAGAGTTTCTCTCCTCGATTTTAAACGCTGATTCACTGCTTATTGATTCTCTTCACCTCCTTCTCTAATGCAATTAAAGTCCCTTCATATCGATGGCTTGCCTTCGGTTGCGGTCTCAAGAAAATGGTCTGTTCTTGTGTCATAGAGGCATAAATTTATTGATTTTCTTCTCTATATTCACTGTCAAATAACGAGTTAAGTTGTTATGAGGATATCTCCTAACTACAGTAATTCTTTGTCGCATATATATAAAATTAAAATAATATACAATAATTAACAAATATCAAAAATAATAAAATGGTGAGACGACAGAATCAAGAGTTACACAGTGTAAGTAGAATTGGCACAAATAATCTTTCTCTTTTTCATTAGATAAATAGAAGACTTGCTGATTTATATTAACACATTAAACTTTTTTACGCATTTTATATACTTTTTTTTATGTATCTCACCTAAATTGATACCTTTGAGAAGACTATAAAGCAATTTATCGTGTTATTCTTTGAGGATTACCCTTGAGTTATGTATTATTTCATTGTATGAGGAATTATTAGAAAAAAACTTCTACGTACTTTCTTTTTCACCATTCATTAAAAAATCTACTTTATATCCATTATTATAGATAATAATTGATTAATTGTTCGTGGAGACTTTGTCTTGTGGGGAGGGAGAGCGGATTTTCTTTAATCATGCGGTCGCTGCTGACTGTAAACGGAACTCAGTTTTCTCTTGTGACTCATCCTCTTCCTCTTGCCGGGCCGGCCGATCCCTTTCTTCCTCAGAAGAACGCCTAGCCGAAGAGCTTGTCGAAGCACGGATGGCAATAGGGTTTGTCGTTCTGCTCTTTGAAAGTGCCCTTGTTGAGCTGCTTCAGGCAAAAGGCGCACACAAAGTGTTCCGGATGGAATTTCCTGAACATGGCCGTAATACAGCGTCCTGTAATGGGCTTTGAGCATCCAGCACACAGAGATCCACGCTTGGCATGGTAGTGCGTCTCACAGTACGGCAAGCCCTCGTGATCGAAGAAGGAGCCGCCCTGGAACGGCTGCCGGCAATCCTGCAAGAGTCACAGCAAGAAAATCGCAATAAATCATCACAGAACGCAATTGCAATAAATCTCTAATATGTAATTTCCCAACTAAGCACCGTCGATTGAGCCAAATTATTAATAATTATCACCTCAGATGCCGCAATGACAGAATTTTGGCTCTAAATTCAAATTTGTTTACCCACCAAAAATTTATTGGAATGCCAAATTTGTGCAATATTCCGAAAAAGAATTGATCATTAATTGCGTATATGTGAATTAATGATTCTCACGTCATTTGAAATAATAAATATCCCGCAAGCACATGTCAGGATGTTTATAATAAAATTATATTCACTGTAATTTTGCGAAGAAATCTGATTTTTCCTCTCAAATCACCTCATTATTATTATTATTATGAATCAAATTGTCTTCACGGTGACACTGAAAGCCTTGGCAAAATAGAGTTCACAAGAAAGTATCGCGTTAAATAGTCCAATTAATCTCTGTCATCATTCGAAATACCACGCAAAAGGGACTTTCTATCTTGGCAGTGATTTGGAGGGAAGATCTGATATTTTACTATACTTAAACTTTGCAAAATTCACGAGGTCACTTTGCAAGCAACGGAATTTTCAATTTGACGGGATTAATATGCAAAAATTATTCACATCACCCACGTTGTCATATTAATGTTTACATTATTGAAAATTTATATATATTTCAAACAGCCAAATCGCTTCGTTCATGACAGGGTAGAAAAAGAGTGTTTCTATGTGCCTCATGTGCCAGGAATAGCTTTTCTCATTGGACACATTTTCGGTTTGATAAATAAATTGAATGTCACCCAATATATTATATGAATGTTAGACATGAAATGCTCCTTTGGATTGAGATATTCACTCAACATGCGGGGAAGAGTCTAAAATCCGAATTGTAGGGAAAAGTGGGGCTGCTTGGCGAGCAACTTCTCTGCAAAATTGTGTGTTGATAAACACGATGTTCACTGTATTTGCGTGTTTTGGGATATTTTGCGTCCTTCAGAGGCTGAGGACGAGGTGTACAAACATGATAAAATCGATTTTTTCCACATCCGCGACAGTGAGCAAGATCACGCTATTCTTATCTGTACGACAAAATATTGCGCGTCGCGAAAATAAATGTATCGAGTAATTTGGACGATTGCTGAAATGTTGATATTTGCTGATTGAGAAATTTTTATTTCATTTCACAAGAAATCATCATTCGTCAATGGCCATGCAATGGCATGACAAGCTGTCGCTCTGCGTTTACCCTCCGCACCCTCACACGCACTGGCATCATCTTTCGCGTCGCGCGAGTGGGAATAAGGCCAATTTATGCGTCTCCTCACTCCCCATATTGGAACCTAATTTACTGCCTCACGATGGAGACAGCGTGAAAAGAAGACGGGCGTAAACACAACACATAAAAATGATGCCCCAGCGTGAAAATAGACACAAATGCCGTGAAAAATATCACGAAGAGGTCAGCTTGTGGTTAATTTTGGAAAATCACGTCACGGAAATCCGCAATTAAGGCCCCATCACGTGGCGACTATTATGCAAGGAGCGATTTATTGTGGTCAATGGGTGAGACTGTGCACGAGAACAGCACTCTCCCCCAAGGTTGAGGGAAAGCGATCTGTCTTGGGCGCACTTCTCACCCTTTTCGCTCTTCTTTGTGTTTTGTTTTTGGCTATTTTTATTTTTCTTTTATTTTTTTTCTCTTCTTCTTCTCTTTATTACAAATTTATTTCTCTGTGTCAAATATAAAGTCTTCTAGGGGGCAAGATTTCTACATTTAGCGTGATTTTCCAAAAGTAAGGATGCTCTCTCCCATTAAGTGGGAGAAAAATGAGAGGTGTTAGTAGAAATGTTTTTCGGGATATGATTATTTTCTTTCATATATATAAAGATACAGCTGAAAGAGAAATGTTGTGGATATCTTGAGCATATTCATCATATTCCTCTTCCGATATGGAAGAATCATTGGGACGGGAGAATTCCGTTCAATTCTCCTCGCACTCCACACACGGAGGGCACACGGGCTTTCCCTCCATCGAGTAGAATGACTTGCCCTGAACGGGCTTTTTGCAGTCCTGCGAATAGAAATCATCATTATCCAATCCTCGCGTGGGCGCGAGAAGTGCCCACACCACCCCATTAATACTTACGCGGCAAACAAAGCAAGACGGATGCCACTGTGCATTGAGGGCCGAAATGTAGTTCTCCATGATGGCACGATTGCAGCCGCTGCACTTCGGGGCAAACATGTCGAAGTAGTCATTTCGGCAGTACGGCTTCCCGTCCCGCTCATGGAAGCCCTCCTCGCCGAACTGCTGTCCACACTGGGCGCAGAAGAAGTGCTCCGTGTGCCAGGTCTTCTCCAGGGCCGTCACACATTTCTGCAGAGAAGAGAGATCAATCGTCACACCCCAGACTCCATCACTCCTCGTCCATCTGCTGTTGATCTTCTTACATCGAGAATGGCTCCATTGCAGTAGGCACAGCGTGGACTGAAGAGATTGTGATAGTCCGGCTCGCAATAGGGATGGCCATCGCGCTCGAAGAAGTTCCTCGTGCCCAACTCCTGATTGCAGTGATTGCACGTGAAGTGCTCAGGATGCCATGTCTTGCCCAGGGCCGTGATCACCTGGCCCACAATCGGCTTGTCGCACCCAGAGCAGCAGCCCTTCTGTGTCGTTGTCACACCCTGGCGATTCATGTTGGCCTGGAGGTTTCCTAGCATAGAATCCAACTGGTCACGGGGTTGAGTGGTGGTGGTCGTAGTAGTTGTCGTCACCTCCTTATACTGCTGAATATGCGAAACGCCCTTGTTCGGCTTGGCGTAATCCGTGACCTGCTGGTGACGATGACTGTTAGGATTCACCTGAAATGAGTTCAAGAAGACAAGTATAGCCATCTCCTGACCCAAATAAATCCTCCATTCTAGTGTTTCTCCCAAAGCCTCGCCCTATCTGTTGGAAAGTGTGCAAAATCGAGCACTTCTCGGTCTATATTTATAATTTCTCTGCGATGCCTTTTGCTCGGCGAGATGAAAATCCAAGATGTGAAATAATGAAATTATATTCTCCGTCCCAATTTAGCTCTTACGACTCAGTTCAGTCAAAAGGAAACCCTGTCAAACCCTTGGAAATCCCACCCCAAGTCCGGAAAATCCACCGCGGGAAATATTGAGAGTAAAAATTTTCAGATGCTAACCCAATGAGTGATGGACTACGACTGTGAGAACATCTCTTCACACACACCAAACATCGGCCGAGATTTAGTGGCCCCAGCGTTCGGCCAGCGCATAGGATCAGCGTGCGCAGATTCCCCTCAATTTGATTTAAAACGTCCGTTACGAGGTGTGCGTTATGGAGCCAAGAAAGGACACGCGCGTCTCTCATCCAACATTGCGCAGATGACGCGCTTCATCTTCCACACCGCAAAACTCTCTTCTCGCCCTCTCCACAACACCAAATGTCTTGTCCAATTATTTATGTCTCTCTTCCACAATTTTCCCACCATCGCGGGAGTGTGTAGACCGATTTATTGGAATAAATTACCCAAACCGCTCTATGGGGATCATCTTCACAGATTTCCCGCAAAATTTGCATGCAATGTTGTCTGACTGAGGACGCCAATTTAATTTTGCACATCAACACACATAAATCAAGGGCAGTGCGAGAGACAGAGAAGGAGTGGTCAAATTGAAGGGTAATCCGGCAAAATCACAAATTTTAAAAATAGAGGGTCTTTCATCAAGAACCATACATCTTCTGATCATTTAAGCAACTTTTTTAGAGGTTTTTCGGGGAGATAAATTAGAAAAATTATAAATAAATTGGTCAATGTTTATCCAGAAAGTCAGACTAAAAATAGTTTATGGCCACTTTACTCAAATTAACTTCCTCCACCCTGGCACAAAACGGGCTTCTCATTTGCAGTCACTGTAGTCAGCAAGACAATTCAAATCAGCTGATTTAGAGAGAGCTTTGTGTTGTAATTATTATTGAAAGTCTTACAACTCATTCATCGCCTATGTCTTGTCATTTGGTATAAATAGGTGTTTTCTCTTCTGAGAAAATATTAAAAATACACTTCTTTGCGCCAACTCGCTAAATCACAGAGAAATGCCCATTAATTCATCACTTTTTATCACATAGTCGAGGCACTTTTCGTCCATTTGATTGCTTTTAAATAAGAATTTATCAGACTGTGTTGTTCAAATCATTCAACCAGTGAGGTGAAACCCACTTTGTGAGCTCCTCGAACTGATTTCTCAGATACCTGTTCAACATAATCATCATCATTGCTCAGAATTCACAGTATAAACAATCTATTTATCAATATTTCTGTCAGCTCACCTTGAAATCAGACAGCGAAGCCATAAGATCATCCAACTCCTTCGTGGCTGTCGAGGCATGAAAAGATGGAGTTGAGCTTGAGTAGGATTTCTCCTCTTTCGTCACCGTTTCCATGACATCTTGACCTGAGAGACACGAAGAAAATTTCATTAGTCACCATCCTGACATTTCAATTGAAACAATCTTACCTCCAGGAGGAGATTGAGACCGCATACGTTCCGTCTTGGTCTCTCTCACGGTGATCGTAACATGCTTTCCAGCTTTTCCGGGCTCCGGAGTGGACGTTCTGAAATTAATACCGAGTTCATTAGATAAGAGACCATATTTCTTCTCCCAGGATGATTTAACACAACTATATCGTCACTTTACGATCAATTAATAGAGAATTATGTGTTCTAATAACCGTGGCCCAGAATACAAGCGACACAAGAGGTGTTTTATTCTAAATACAACTCCATAAAATAAATCTTTACGTGTTTTCATGTCTCATTCAACTAATTTAAATCCTTATTTCATTTATTATTAGCAAATAATAAATTACAAATTGCTCGCTGAAATATCACAAAGAAACATCGAATGTATGTTCTGAAAATATACAACATGTTTTCATTAAGCTTGAAATATTGTGATATTTTGAAAAAAGCTTTCTGTCCCCATAATTTTAGTGCATCAATTAATTTTGCCAAACATTTATGATCGCCAAAGTGCTAAAAGCAAAAGATAACAACGTTCAGCGAACTCATCAGTGCAACATTCCTCCAAAAATTAACACTGATCGAAAAATTTATTGTACAAATTGTTTGTAGACACATTTCATTAGCGATTTATCATTTATTCTAGGCTCTGACTATTCTCTTCTCGACTTTTCTCAGAAAATACAATATGTTCCTCCGCAAAACGCTGACTTTCTCTCATTCATCCAATAACAAAACATATGAGTTATCGTAAAATCGAAATAAAATAAATAAACTGCTGTATTTTCACACCCAAGAAATCCTCAATCGCCAATCATGCGCTCTCACAATGACCGTTGATTGAGGATTGTTTAAAATTGACTTCACATCGCTGAAAAATCTCTCAATTCGCCAATGATCTTCTCACCAGCCAAAATGCATAAAGCTTAAAATTTAGATGAGAGCAAATATTTTGAGAGAAAATTCTGATCATTGTGGTGGAATTTTCACAGTTTGAAATCATCGAATTTTTCAGCGATTCCGTCATCGTTCAGAAAGTTCGCGCCTGAGTTTCTCACCCATTGGGCACAGCATATGTCGCTCCGCTGGTATTGGCACTGCTCAGCTCATCCAGCAAGCTGTCCACGGAGGGCCTCACAGTGGAGTCATTGGCATAGCGACTGGACGCGTAGCCATTCTCGCCCTTCCTGTCCAAACTCCGGCCATACCGCTGGGAGCTCAAGTCCTCCAACAGAGAGTCCAGCTCGGAGAGGTTGCCCGTGTTGGAGCCCACATTCCGCGGCAGCGACCCCGATCCACGCACGGCCCCATTCACGCCCGAGGCGGAGTGTTGGCTCTGCACATGGTACGTTGGCTGGGGAAGGAGAAGAAGAAAAATCATCACTCATATATCACACTTTTTGTCGATATACTGACGAATATGACTCGGATATTAATAGAAGATCAGTTTATTTACTTTGTATCTTATAAGAACGTGAAATTTCATAACTTGGGAAACCCTTCAGTGCTCCCCCACACTCTTCCGCCCTCCACTTGTCTTCTATTTCAGGAAGACACCAACAACAACACCACCACCGTCCCGAATATCAAGTCGGATGTCTTGGGCGAGAAGCAACACCGCGAGATTCGTGATATATTTTTGATCACTATTATTTCATTTATGAACGAATAATGTACACGCTTCTCTCCTTCAATCCTCGAGCATGTTTCACCATCGTCTTTTTTTATTTTTTCTCTCTCTAGCAGTTTTGTTGGATGTGCGCCAAGTGAATATCGTGCCGAGTGCAATTTCCCATCTCACCCGCTCCTCAAGCCATTGTCTCACTGCGTCCAGTGCATTTTCTTCGCACTTTTTTCGCCAATATCGCAGAGAAAAAATTAATAAATCGGCCCATCATTCGCAATATGGCAAAAGGATTGAGGAAAAAAAAGAGAAAAAAGGGCTCGTCCGGGAATTGAACCCGGGACCTCTCGCACCCGAAGCGAGAATCATACCCCTAGACCAACGAGCCATGTGTTTCTCACACAGGCAGAGTTGCCACACTCGCTTTCTGCGCTCGCTCGATGACTCACTCGCTCTTCCAACACACGCAACCAGTGGCCAAATATCCAATTTCTCTCCGTGCTTACCGACTGCGGGGACTGCTTGGCGCGCAGACTCCCGTATCCTCCAGATGAGTTGGCATTGTAGTGATGCTGAGACGCTCCTCCCGGCACGGAGTTCTGGAGATCGGCGAGCAGCGCGTCTGAAATGGGCACAGGAAAAATAACCATAAATATCTCATCCACTGTCCATAAACGCCAACCAATTCGCCAAAAGACCCCGCCACAGAACTCAGAGAAGAGGCATTTTTACCCAGATACACATTGATATTCTCAGCCACGGATTCGTAGCTAAGATTTTCAGATTGTCTCTCACTCCTCTCCATTTATGTTCATCCACAATCACGCCTTTTCAGTTTATATCATGAAAAGAATTCTATATACAAATTAAATCCCACTCAATTGGCAATATTCAGTCGATAAACCCCACAAAGTATTCGATGATGTAAAAAAATTCAGTGACAAGGTAACAAGGTCTTATTTCCATTTCACAGCACTTTAGCACGAAATTGTTAGACTCTATCGAGTGTGTGACACCTCGATCTTTCACTTAAACACTGCCTAAGCAATTCAAGTTATGCAGTGGTGGTAAATGAGCTCCTTATCGTATAAGAGAGCCACTTTATCTACTTGTGATAAAGACGAGTAATCATATTTAGACGGGTGACGAATAGTAAAATACAGAAAACATGGAAAACTCAACATAAATCTGTGAAAGACACGATGATTAATTTATTAACCCTTGCTTGCATATAGAACTGTTTGTCGTAAATACTTTTTCGAAGGAAAAACATGATTTTTCACATTTTGTCTTTACAGGTTAATAACATCGAATTCCGTGTGTTTTTTTTTCTTTCATACTAAACACGTTTGAAGAGTTGGAACAGTTCAGGGTTAGTAAGGAAGCAACTAAAAGTTGTAAAACTGATGGAGATGTGCTCTTCGACGAACCAATTAAATACTTTTCGCAATGAATTGCAAGATAAGAATCTCTCGCAGACATTTCTAATTGAAGTGACCTTTGTGAGAGACAAAAATTTGCATTTCCATCAATTTATTCGTGAATTTATTACCCAAAAGACATTCCCAAAGATTGACGTTATTTCCCACCCTCAATATATTGTGGTTAATTCCATATAAATTGAGTCACTTTAAACCCAGCATGACACTTACTGATCTTCTGCTCGTAGCGAATTAAATCCACTTTAGGCGAATTCAGTGTTCGATAAATTGTCGTCATTTTTCAATCAACTGCACAAATGTATCTCTCTCCTTTGGGGAAAAACAGAGGATCGCTGTCGCTTTAGTGATCACTTCTTGGCGTTCCCACAGAGATCGCAATTGACTCTTTCTTTATCGCACACGCACGTCAAGGCATTGGAAAGAGACTCATGTAAAATCACCTTACAATTTACACAAATACACATTTGAGGCTTATTTCCATTTTTATCGCACAATATTTTCACAGTCCTACACATTGGCGTGACGCAAGAAGAAATATATTTATAGTAAACAGTGGTTTAAGTTCAATCTCATCATCAAAAGTTGAATTCACGAAATAAAAAAATACTCGCCAAGCAGATAAAACTATTCTCATTTTACATTCACATTAGAGAAATTGCGCGAAAGACGAGATTAATTAAAACTGTGACACTGTAGGTTGGGTTTAGCATAAAAAAACCAGGCAAATTACACAACAAGGTCCACTTGAGAGGTGTCTTAAGTAAATCCAAAAATACACCTATACTAATTAGTGCGTGGAAAACTAATTCGAACTCATCGGGAAAAAATGCGCACTTGAAAAGGATTGAAATTCACGATGCTGTCACAAATATGAATGATCAATTGCGATCTAACGTGGAACGATAGTAAATCATTTGGATGGCGATAAAATACACAAATGATCGGTGAAGATCACACTAAAAACGTCACAGAATCATACTCACAGAAGTGATCTTTAGACTTTTCGCACAAGTACAGGGACACCAATAGAGAGTGAGAGAGACTGTGTACAAGAACGGATGGATAAGGCGGAAAGTGCGATTTCTCAAGCTATTTTTCACTTTGGTATAAACAAGAAATAGAGGAGAGATTTTGTGTGTCAACAACACAAAACACTGTCGCGATTTGAACAAGTGGAGGAGCGATTGAGCGCCATGAGAGATCAACTTGAGTGAGATCACTTTTGGCAATGGCGACGCCTGGTCACTCTCTGCCTCTGTGATCTCTGCCTCCTCAATACCACGTCTCTGTGGCTGTATTTGAGAAGGTGGGAAGACAAATGCCACATGATCGCGGTATTGGTTGATATTTTCCAACAGAGAAAACATTTTCCATTGCACTTCAGCCTCGAAAATACCCAAAGATAAGCATTACCCAATTTCCAGAGAGCACAAAACATACATTTTCTCCCACAATTTCTTCATGAAGATCGTCCGGCAAGTGATCGTGATCACTCGCGATCGCCGGAAAATCAATTGGCAAAATTCCTTTGACCAAAATGGCAGAAGGAACAACAAGCGAATGGAGAGATTTACATTTGAGTTCAACTGGTTAATTGATTGTTGAATTATTTTACAGATAACACCCACTTATGGCCATGAGGATCACTGTGGCACTGTGCGTTATTTCATTTCTCCCTCTATATACAGCCCAAGCACATGTTAATTACATAGAGAGAGAGAGAGAGAGAGAGAGAGAGAAAGAGAGGCAATCAATGGATATAAGCGTATATAAAGAAGGCTGAATGAATGAAAAATCTGAGATAATCCAACGCAAGCGAGAAGCATAAGCTGCATACGCCACAGATCCGAGACATCAACCTCTGCTTTCGTGGGCGTAAAACATGCAAATTTCATTCGTCTTGATTTTCTGCACTATTATTCCTTGCAAGAAATGCAATCTGTCATACTGTCACTCTCCTCAGCGACACCCACAGACGCCGGATAGAACCCACGTGTTCTGGCGTGTGATGTTCTCCTTAGCAAATGACCCAAATCATGCAACAAAAGTGAATACGAACATTTCGATGCGTGGCGCGACACTTTTAACCCATTGATTATTGCATGCCTCTTCTCTGAACAACATACCGACAAAGTCTGCGGCAAAAACATTTCAACTGAAGATCAAGCGTCAAATATTTACATTCTGTGGAAATTATGCTGAATTGCAAAACAAATGAGAAATTAGAGGTGAAGACGTGATTATAACTTCAGTGAAAACACGTGAGAAACTCTCTGAAATAACATGGAATTCGATAGAGTCGTGAGATGGTATTTTTCACAGGTTTCTGTTTAGGGCCACATTCACATAAAATTCTAATGACCGCCTGTGTAAAATTTAACGATTCATAGAATTTCATGTATTTATTTAAATATTTTAGTATGAAATTTAAATACATCATAAAGTTTCGAGCTTCGCATTTCACTGTAGGCTCGATGTAAGGTAAACAGGAGCAAGAAAAATAAATCTTTTACTCAGATATTGCTATCTACAAGCCCAATAATTACCTCTCCATTTAACATTACTGTTCTATCTAAATATAATTCAAACAATCACTCATTTCCTCTTAGCATTAATGAAAGAAATCCCTCTCAAAATGACTCTCATTCGAAGCGTCATTGATTGGAGAAAAGGTTAAGCAAATATTTACCAAACTCATCATTAAATTCTACGGAGATACAATTTCCCTCAGGCCAAGGGCTCACGAGTGAAGTAACTCAATATATTTACTCTGTTTTTTAACCATAAATTTAGAAATCTCACTTTCAGTACTCGCACATAAATTGAATTAGACATGCAGTTCCTTTTTCCCTCACACTCATCCTCCACTTTTGCCATGGAAATTAATTATGGTTATGAATTGAGGCTCGGTTGTGTGCGGCATAATTAAAGTAATTACATTCTGTTTCAGTGTTTTCATTAAATTCGATGCAGTTTCATTGAAGATGCTTGTCGAGAGAAAATGAGTGGAACATCTCAAAAAAGGCGATGGAAATTCACTGTGCGCGCGCTCTTCACAAAATGTGCATTTGTGTGCCCAATAAACACTCGAGATTGTAACAAATATTTGCATTTTAATCTCCACAAATTATGTCCACTCGAAATACAAGAAATTTATCTCTCTTGAGGCTTTCTCAAAACTTACATCCAGGAAGAATTCCTCCTTCTTTCACGGTGCACCGATAAGGTTGACGAGCACCTGGATCAATTTTACCATACATTGAGCGATCCATTATGTTTAACACTGATCTGCGCTTCTTCTTCTTCTCTCAAAAACAACTTAATCCATATTTTGCACAATTCTAGTCACTGGTCAGAAAAAGTGTTCTCTTTTTCCACAGTCTTTTCACTTCACTGACACCTCGTGAGTTCACTCCCAGACATTATTAATCTTTCATCATTATTTATTTACTATTTCATTTTTAAGAAATCTCCCTTACAAACTATACATCCATCATTGAGGCGACTATGAAGACAGATAGCTGACAACTGTTGGTGAAATTTATTTATTTATAGAAAATTATACGTGTGTCTGTGACGAATGTCTAATATTGTGTGAAAAAGGAGAGGAAATAGAGAGAAATTAATGCTATTTCTAACCATTATTCTCATTTCCTTGTCTCATATCATTTGTGGGCTTGTCTCAACAAACAATTCTAACACAATTGCGTCATCAGGTTGCATCTTTCAGCTTGATTGAGATTGGGAACCGGCAACAAAATCACTGTTTTGTATAAACATGCGAAAATCCCATGATTTTGATCTATTCGGAAGTACGAAACTGTAGTAAAAAAAAGTATCGAAATCTGTTCAATTAATACACAGGACGCACATTCTCACTTTCATTACAAATGGAGATTAGATGAAAATCTGTGGTTTTCCTCCTCTCTAAATATTTGCATTCTCATCATCTTGATGGAGAATTCAATGCTAAAAATAGTCTCATTTTTATAGTATAAAAAAATCCTGTGTATTTTATATCTTTGACTCCCGTAGTGGTATTTTTAAATGGAACTCTTTTTCGCCTTCTCATTCACCACAAAATTTATGAATCATTTTGATAAAATTAAAAATACTACAACAGAAAAAACCTATTTCTGTAAACACCTTTTCGCATTGCGTGAAGGAAATATTACATGAACAGATCATCTCATCTTTTTCTGCTCATAAAGAATATCAAGAATTTTCATTTAACCTTTGCATTAAAGCCACATCGAAATCCTCACTGATAGCAAAACAATCTTCAATCTATAAATAAGTGGCTTAAAATAAAGCACACAATTGATAAGGGAAGAAATATCAAACAGAAAGTGTGAGACTCTCTCGCGTTAGCAAGTGATCACAAATTAAGTAGCAACAACTTGTGAATTAATAATTCAAAATTTGAATTTATTTATTCACACTCCATCCAACACTTCGTCAATAAACACAAATTTTATTGCCTCAATTAGTGTGTCACTCAATAAATCCCACCCACAATTCGCTGATCACTTTGCAAGATGATTTCCTCCAGAAAACTTGTGACACTGCAAGAGGAGTTTGTAAACAAAGACTCGGGCTCTGCCCTGCGCCGGGAAACAACACACGCACTCGCCGCAAGAGAGAGGAGGCAAAGAGAGTGTCTCTTATGTGGAAACATCAACCATTCTTGACACTGTATAAATATCCACTGACTAAGTGATCCACACGCGGATCCGGATTATGTGACGGATTCACTCTATGCCAGCCACAGTAACGGGTGGGGAGGCCCATAGAGTGAATTGAGTAAACACGAGACGACATCGCACCAGTCTACGCCATTTCTCGGCTGCGACCGTCGATAAAAAGCGAAGAAGAGAGGAAAATATATCAGTATTTTATAGTTGGTGGAAAAGAGTGGCGTCCAAATGGTAATGACTTGTGGAAATACAACGATATTATGTAAGAAAGAGAGAGCGTCCAATCTTCCCACAGAGTTCTAAACACCCAGAGCCTCATCACCTCCGCCCTCCCATCATCAAGTAATCCAATTTATCGCAAGGCATTTCTCTCCCCCATTTTTTCAGCCATCAAGCAATTTAGGTGTGCCTCCGAAAACGCACTCACCAAATAATGGGAAGACTTTCCTCTAATCAGCTGTTCTGTGCTCTGCGGAAGCACCGAATGGAGGATCCATTCCCGAGCCCATTTGGCTCGCACAATGTGTATTTCTGTCCTCATTTCGCCCTCCCTTCGATTTCAATTTTAACATCGAAAAAGCGGGTCAAACTCACTTCTTTCCCATCCAGCAGAATTGCGCTGTTATCTTAAAGCTAAATGAGCATAAAAAGTACAAAGGTGACTCATCACTTCATGTTTGAATAAGCCACTCAAAGATTCACCGACAGATCAGTGCAAAAATTACAGACACATATTTAGCACTGAATTCTCGCATAAACCATGATATGTAAATGGCTAGCCGGTAAAAGCATAGAAATTCACCCATGATAAACGATGCAAAATGATTTTGGAGGCCGACGAGAGGCATTTCAAGCAATATTTCTAGCTCTGAAACTCACTAAACATGCTTCAGACTTAGAATTTTCACTGACAACATCCAGAAGCGCCACAAAGTCCGACCTTTGCTCTTTTTGGAGGTCGCTGCAGTAAAATTGGCGTAAAAATTGAATTTCACGGGAAAGTCAGAAAGCCTCTAATGCTAATGATTCTAATAATCGTCTGGGCGTGGATTTGGAAGAGACCACGAAGTTGACTGCGTGGAATTTCCGCTCAGCGGTGGCGAATTGAAAATTAATGCAGAAAGCAATATCATCAATTTCACATTATAGGCAATGTGTAAGCGATTTTGACCTCGCTGAGGAGTCGATGGGCGAGTTTAGTGGGCACTAGGAGTGCAATTTCTCTCTTTCTCTCTCTCTGGCCAGTTGAGGGCATCACTCGATTGTCCGGAGAGTGTCTATTTGACTACTTTCAGTTTCATGTTTCTCGCTCATGATACGCGCGGGGTTTCCTTAAAAGGCGAGTAAATAGCATGTTAGGCCATATGGGGAGGGCGACAGCTTTCGAATGGATGTCGGGTATTTTGAGCCATGAGAGATCAAGAAGTCAGGGCCCCACAGAGTCCATTGATTCCCAGCAAAATCAATGAGGTTGATCTCTTGCCAAAAAGTCGCCGAAAGTGTGTGAAGATCTTCAACCTCAAGGGTAAGTATGGGCACGCACACACGCCCAGCAGTATTGTCTCGCTACTTAGCGTATAAATAAGATCACCATCATCTCGACTTTACTCGTAAATGCATCACCGTTCTTTTCCGAGAAAACATCAACAACGATCAACAAAAGCATGTGAGGTTATGTACCTCTTACTGTTCCCATTTTTTGCGGACTCCCAAGCCACCGCTTATCAGCATCCCTCTTATCAAGTGGAATGTAAACAAACAAAAATCCCTCTCTGTCTGCTGAAACAATAAATACGGAAATAACAGGGAAAATCAAGTGTTTACTCACCCAAATCATCCATCACCAGTTTGAGTTTGCGGATATTCCTTTGGCGCGACAATGCTATGGATTTTTTGACTCTCTACAGGAAAATATCACACCTGGCAGGCTCCTCTTAAGCCCCACAGTCGAGAATCACAAGGAAAATCCCTTCTTCTGGAGAAATCAGGGATAAAACATCACCAATCTTGACACAAAAGAAGGCAAATTTTCTCCTCCTCTAATCTCTCGAAATTCCCAGCTTTTCAGCAATATTTTACTTCCTGCAGGAAGTTCAGACTCAAAAGCATTCACAGAAACCACAAGACAACATCACAGGCCAGTGAATTTTCCAGAAAAGCGGAAAATTCCGTGGGTTTGCCACAAAACAAATACTCCGGAAACAACTTGCAAAAAGTGCTTATCAGTGTCGCCACTGGCGCTGGCAACGACAAGTGGGCAATTGCATCGCAAATGGTTTTTTGTTTTGAAAACAGTGAAAACATCAAGCAGCGCGTGTTTTTGTTTTGCCCAGGAAAAATGAAGAATCAGCCGAATATTCTCATAACAGGAACGCCAGGAGTTGGGAAGTCACGCATAGCAAAGCAAGTGGGTGAGAAATTGCAAATGAAGTGGCATGATGTGTCGCAAATCGCGAAAGATCACAAATTCCTCGAGGGATTCGACAAGGTCTTGGATTGTCCCATTCTGGATGAAGATGCAGTAAGACTTTTTGGCAATGTGCTCTGGGAGTTATAATCTTGCATCAAGGGTATTTAATTTTCAGGTCTTGGACCATTTGGAGCCGATAATGCAGAAGGGAGGCAACGTCGTTGAGTATCATGCTTGTGAAATATTCCCGGAAAGGTGGTTTCATCTGGTATTTGTGATTCGCTGTAACAATACTCTGCTCTACGATCGATTGTCCAAAAGGAAGTACAGTGACAAGAAACTCCATTCTAATATTGAGTGTGAAATCTTCAACACAATCCTCGAGGAAGCTCAGGAAGCGTACAAAGAAGAGATTGTTCATGAATTGACCAACGAAACTGAAGAGCACTTTTCACAAAACATCTCGAAGATAGAGGAGCTTGTGAAGTCGTGGCAGGATAACTATGAGAAGGACGAATAAAGAAATCCGGAAAATTTGATGTTTCATTTCTCAAAATGTTGAGGTTATGCTTCGGTTGTGGAAACAAGTTGCACGTGTCGAAAATATTCTGGAGAAGCTTTACTCGTGGAAAATTGTGGAAATTTGGACGGAAAATGGACAGAGTATATTTTAGGCATGCAGACAATGACGGTTCCGTGGATATATCCTTCAGGTATACCAATGCAGAACACAATATTGACCGTGTTTTCAATTTCCGGAGGAATGTCAATGAACTGGTGCAGGGCTTCACTGACAGAACCCGGACAAATATCGAGAAGGAGTTCAATAAGCATAATAAGAAGAAGCAGAAGAAAAAATCCAGTGAAACTGCACAGGAAGCGGTCCAAGTAACGCCTCCGGAGGTGAGACTCTCACAACAAATTCAATATTTTGACTGATGTGATTCCCTGACTTTCAGATCATCGTGCAGCTCACTGGACATGGAGAAGATCTCTCAGGGAAGACTTTTCAAGAAATCCTAGTCACAGAGACACTGAGAAATAGCTTAGAGCTCTCAATTCACGACCAGAAACTCCCCGTTGCTGTGAATTATCCTTTTGTGGACTTAATCACACTTCCCGCTTCAATTCTGGCGGGATTCTTCGTATATCCTAGCAAAATAGAACTCTCATTTGCCTCAGAGAATGACTGTACTTTCACCTGGTACAGAGGGATGCTGCCCAAGAATAAGATACTCAACAACATAGAGTTTCAGGAAGTAGGCAAAGGATTTGCTTACTTTGCAAAGCTCGAAGACGTGGATCATTACTTGAAAGTCGTGTGTATTCCTCGAAGGGATGGAATTGAAGGTCCCAGTGTGGAGTGCTTGTCCAAATGCACTGTCCAGGCCAGTCCAGGAGAGTGCCCGTTCGAGCTGCGACACAAATTCACGAGTCAACGCCTCTCTGGGGAACAGTTCAGAGTGGCTTCTTACAATCTTCTCGCCGATTGCTATGCAGATAGTGATTTCAGTCGCCAGGAACTCTTCCCTTACTGCCCTCCATACGCTCTCCACATCGACTACCGGAAGCAGCTGTTCATCAAAGAGCTCCTGGGTTACAATTGTGATATTATCTGCCTTCAGGAGGTCGATGCGAGGATATACGATATGGATCTCGACAGATCCCTCCGTGTGTGGGATTTCGACGGGCATTTTACGAGGAAGGGCGACACAGTTGAAGGCCTGGCTATTTTCTACAATAGGAAACGCTTCCGCATGTTAAAGAAGTTTGCAATAACTTACGGCGAGCAGTTAAAGAAGATGGACATTTTTGCGGAAATATACGAGAAAATCCGAGGCAATGAAGAACTCGCCACGAGAGTAGTGGAGAGATCCACAACCCTGCAAGTGGTGGTCTTGGAGTCTCTGGACAATCCAGGAGAGGCGATTATCGTAGCCAATACGCATCTCTACTTCCATCCGAATGCTGATCACATGAGACTTTTGCAATTCGGACTGGCGATGATCTTCATAGAGAAACACGTCTTACCTGAGGTAGAGAGGGATCTTCCTGGAGTTAGAAAATCCTTGATCTTTGCAGGCGACTTCAACAGTGTGCCGGAATGTGGAATTTATAAGCTTATGACTGAGAATTTCGTTCCCAGCGACTTCATTGACTTTCAATCGAGTAAGTTTTCGATACTAAATTGATTGTAAAAATTGTACCAACGTCTGGATTTTTTTCAGAGCCTGATCAAGAGATTAAGGATGTCGAATTGAGACAGTCTCTGCCGATGTCTTCTGCCTGTGGTTGTCCGGAATTTACCAACTTCACAGTTGGCTTTAAGGCCTGTCTCGATTACATTTTCTATCAGACGAACAATCTCAACGTAGTGCAGGTTATTCCATTCCCTAGTACGCAGGAACTCGAGGCTCACATCGCCATCCCGTCCGTGGTCTTTCCTTCCGATCACATCGCCCTGGTGGCTGATTTGAGTTGGAGGAAGTAGTGAAACAAGGGAGTTTCTCTTGCATGTCTTTTGCGGTTTATTATTAAAATAACAATCTTATAGACACTAATTTGGAGGAGAATTGTGACTAAATAAATTGTCATATAAGATCCTGTATAGCCTACACTCTCTCGATATAAGTTCTACAATGCGAACTGAAAGGGTAGAAACGGTGATTAGCTTCAGGTCGACTGTGAATTGGTTGAGAGGAAAAATAAAATCCCTTAAACACCCGAGAAGGCACCACAATATACTGTCTGTTAAGCCTATCCTAACTATCTAGTTACAAAGTTTCAAGTTACGTCAAAATGAAAACCTCGTGTCAATATTGCAATTTTGAGTATACATAAATAAAACGAATAAAATAGGATAGATTGTAGTTACTACAATTAAATAAATAGAGCATTCCTTAATACATAGTTAGGTGTACTTATAGAATACAATTAAATAAAATTAGGGTAAATCGAAGAAAAAATCTGTAAAATACAAAACACAGCGCATTCAGTGATTTTCCGAAGGAAAAAAAATAATCAAAACTTTTGTAACTAATTGACAAATTGATTCTGCCTTTGAGATTGTGATGTTGTTTGTTTTGTCAATCCATAAGGGCAACACTAGGTAAATTCACTATTTCAATTGGTTTTACATGACTCACTCGCCGCACTTAAAAGTAATCGCGAACAGTTACAAATGCAGTCCCTAAACGACAACTCAATAATGCATTATAAATTGTGACTCGCTTCTTCTACACGACGAAAACATTGCTGGAATTCTGGGTGAGATTTCGCGCCTCATATTGCCAGGGTTCACGTGATAGAATATGGAAGAATAGGATCGAATTTGTTACTCAGAATCGTGACATTTGTGGCCTTCTTGTAGCCCCACAATTCCATTGCTTTTGTACATCCGTTCTGGATTGTGTCAATCTGCAAGCAAAGACATTCAGTTAATCCAATTAGAGAACATTGGAAGAGCTCTGTCGACAAACCTCCTCGTAGGAGAGGTCCTTGATCCAGTGGAAGGGTGCTGACTTAGAGTCACGATACGTGGAGCTTACGCCGCCAATGTCCAACTTCGTGTGTGACTCGAGGAACTCCTCCACCTCGGGATCCATGGGCAGTCCGTAGAAGTCTAGCAGCTCCTTCGTAGTCTCGTGCGGTCGCAGTGAGAGGTCCTCATAGCGCACCACACGGAATCGGTCGGGGTGCTTCTTGAGCAGCAGCTGAGCCGCATAGAAGTCCGCCACCATGTCGCGGCACATCGTGGGCGGATGATCACAGTCTGGCCGGCCAGGACACCATTCGCGGTGCTTCCGCGATTGTAGAGTCCCACGCGGATCGCGGATTAGCAGAACGATGCGCACATTTAATCTGGAGAAAAGGAAATTGTTCAATTGAATTGAATTGCAAACTCTGTCTTCATCATTGATACATAATGACAGTGCGATCTTTCTGAGCGCCGTCAGTGTAGCGAAAAGCTGAGTGATAAGGAAATGTATGAAAAGTTTGGAGAGCTCTTCATCGTTATCAGTAACCACTTAAATATTAGAATATTTTTATCACCAAGAATTATATTTGTTATCCAATGTCTTCAGTGTAGAGAAAGCTGGGTGGTATTTTCCATCTTTTTACGTTAACATAAAATTAAGTTTTTATTAAAATAGTTCAAAAATGGTCCCGAATAACGCAAATTTTCTTTTTATTTGAATTCATCATAGCATTAAAACCTTTTTTTCCAATAGAAGCACTTTTTGACACACTTTACAAGTAAAGTTTTTGCACAGAATGATTTAATACTTGTGCAGCGGATGGAAAATTGGGTCAATTGTAATTGCTTTATGTAAAATGCCGCTTTATTATTGCACAATAACCCCGAATGGAAAATTCCTACGGGCTTTGTATTTAAAAAGAATTAAAAGAAAAGTGATAGGCAAATGAAAATAATTATTTCAATTCATTTATTATTTATCTATTTAGTATTGCACCTGAAAGAACAACTTGTAAACATAGGTTGAAAAAGAAAATATTTGTTGTTTATTTTAGGGAATATTAAACATTGAGCAATTATGATAGGCAATAACAGCTTATGTAGGCAGTGACTAATAGGCACTCATTATCGCTGAATCACATATTCATTGTATCTTTGGAAATTCAGAGGGTAATTTCTAAGAGGTGATAACACTGATATGCCTTTCCGCTACGATTAATAAAGATTCCATTCAGCCAGGGAAATATCTGATTACGAGAAAAACTCATGGCGCTCAATATCAGATATAAAGTCCATTGATTTCTTTTCGAGGTTGATTGATGACATAATTTCGGCAATTTTGCCGCATTGACGAAGACAATTGTGTCTTTTGTCGACACGAAAATAGCCACACACGAGACAATAGCAGATGCATTAAAGCAATTGATTTTCTCACACATTATGCATCTTTCTTCTATGCTTTAAGAGTCATTAAAAATATTTACGGCGTATTAGAAAAATGAATAAAACTCCTCATTATACCCAGTCATTGTGGATGATGAGAGGCGTGCTTCCGTTCCGACACTGTTGCAGATGAATTGTATGTTTTTATGTATATAATGTCGTTGCGGTGAAAACGTGGAAAAGTTGACAAAACAATCATTTTCCAAAATAATATTCTTTCGCCTCGCGAGCATGTAATTTTAATTAAAACACATGTCCAAATATTTAAGTAATGATATCATAACAAGAGGCAATTACTAGTTATTAGGGAGCATTCCTTGTTATCAAGTGTGCTTTTGTACAGAAATAATTATACCACAAGATAATTAACGTCTCTCGCCCACCAATTTGAGCTTCCCAATATCAATTGGCAACACACTTGAGTCGTATCACAGCACAATCTCATCTTTATTTGACACTGGACGCCATATCAACCGACCTCACCGCAATTTAATCAATCAACTTTGACTGGATATTGCTTACAGGATGATTCTATATAATGTCACTATGATGGCAGAATTGTTAGCTTAAACACAACACTGCAAATAGTTTGTTTATTGCACAAAAGCGAATTATTTGTCCATCAAGCGAAGAATTTATCTCTCTCTGTCACCAATTACTGTAAACATAATTAAGTATACTCTGTGAAATCCTATTGCTAATCACATTTATCATCAGCTGAGCAAATGAATATCGTATGAAGCAAAATTTGGTAATTAGATATTGCAAATTGACTACTTTTACTTTATTCCAACGAGTGAGATTGCAAATGATTGAGAGAAATTCATGTAATTTCCCAAAATAAATCTTTAGCTGTAAATCAAAAAGTATAATTACTTTCTCCCATTGAATGGAAAATGAGACGAAATTGTATGGTTGAAAATTGTATAACAATTGCAATGATATAATTTCCACAAATTGCACTTAACACTTCACGCTACCGTTGGCGGTTTAACAAAGGAATCAAACCGTAAATTTTATGGTCACTATCATAATGGAAACATGTGTTAAATATCCCATTATTTTGCAGGAAATATGCAAAGCATCGCTGATATTTATTGTGTGGGAAATCCATTGAAAACTTTTAGAATGAAATTTTCACGAGTAAAAAAACACTCACACGGGAAATGTGCAATATTTAAGCATCACTGAATCGTTCTCCAGCATTTCGCTGCATACAAATTTCCTCGGGTCAATGAAAATCACCTTAATTATGTATTCAACTGGTGTAAGCGCAGAGATATCGATTTTTCAATTTAACTCCTTTTGCCAAGCATAGGAAAAGCGGACGGGTTCCACTCTAGTTTCGCTTTTTTTCCGGTAAATTTACCTGCAGAGAGGCTTTTGTCTCCCTGAATTGCATTTCCCACCCATCAATCCTTTCGTGGCGAGAAAGTATATTGCCGAAAAGGATTGAATATTTAATATAAAAGTGAATGTGGTTTTTAAGGCGGCGAAAGGTGAATTATTTAGCGAGTCATTTTCTCAAGAATCATGAAATGAACCTCTCCAATATTTATTGATTTGGGCCCAAATACATTTTGATGGAAAATTCGTGGCCTCGCGACATGAATAAAGTATAGGAAACTGGCAAACAATGGCAATATGTGCTGCATATAGCAACTCTTATCACTTGTGCCAACTTTTTCTATTCCCCCATGAAACTACCAGCAAATTCGCGTGGAGTCTAAGTTGATAAAACAATTAGGCAAGAAGAAAATTCAAGGCTTCACACTTAATTAATTGCCTCATAAATTTTCTGGATAAGTCTTGTAGAGATTTGTTTCTCCCTCTTTGTCTCTCTCTTTCTCTGTGCAAATAATCTTCTATCCATTGAATTTTCCACTAACATGGACATGCATACTAAAAGAAAACTCACACGCAAATCGTTCCATGTGCGCCAATGTTTAAGGCAATAACTATCTATGCCACAAGAATCACGATTGAATGGGGAAGAAACGGGTTCTCCATACTCGTGTGCCACATTTTAGAGCTACATTCTCTCTGCAATTTCTCATTTTTCTCACTCAATTCCCTCGCTTCCTCTTCACATGTGCCCCACTGAGATTATTGCAATTATTTACACTGAATTATGGATCACTGCAAGAAATCGCACTTTCCATCATTCAATAAAAAGCCATAAGTTCAACAGTGTGATGTTTATCGCACTGTCGCGATATCTCTGTTGGAAATCCGAAAATAACCATGCAGCAGAGGTTGTTATCAATATTGCAGAGAATGGCATATTTCCTTCCTTCTGATAAAACAATGCATTTTCTGTGCTTCGCTGTGGGCAACTAATTTTTGCTCTCGGAAATGATTCCCTCGCGATTTTGTATTTTAATTTGCACGAAACATTTGCTCAAGAAATTGCCTTGGAAATGCAATTGCCAAGTTGAGTTTTCTTTTGAGGACAAGCGACAGAGAAATTGCAGTAATTTCTTCAGCAGAGTTGGTAGAATTCTAGTTGCGAAACTGATACAGAATCAGTCTGTTTATCAAGATATGTACTTAACTCGGATGGCAAGGGTGAAAATAGAGCGCTCAGGTGGGAAGAGTTGAAATGGAAAATCTCACCTGGAGTCTTCGAGCAATTGACCGGCAATCGCAAGACGCAGACGAACGACTTTCATGCTCTGCAGCGGAAACAGGCGACAGAGAGGCGTGAGGAAGTCTGGGCGCCAGCAGAAGTTCGGATAGAGGAGGCACAGTCGCCACAGGCGTGTGTTGTGCTTGAACAGGTACGAGTGTGCCTGTCCATAGTCGAGGTAGTCCTGCATTCCCGCCCCGCTGTAGTCGCAATGGAGCAGGCTCTTCAGGTTAGCGATGGCCTGCGCCGCGAGTGGATCGTCGCGAATTTGGATGATGTCAAAGTTGAGCAGAGGCTCGTAGTGGTAGTAATTGCCGGGCATGGCGTTCAGGATGTCGCCCAGGAAGGTGGATCCCGAGCGCCACGTCGTGATCACGATGCTCCGGATGGGTTTTCCGCCCGTCTCGGGCGTGAGATCAGCCAATTGCCTCGCCGGCTGCCGGAATCGGCCCGCCGGGTAGTCAAAGAGCATCATTTCCTCCGCTATCCGCTCGCGCTGGCTCACGATCACGTCCTGGATGCGAATGCTGGCGTTCTGCGTGGTGTAGGCTCCGGTCAGGTGGTCGCCGGCCATCGAGGGCGGCTCCCGGTGGTGGTGATAGTAGGCTCGCGGTCGGTAGAAGTCCACGGAGTAGTTGTTAGTGCGGTGACTGGCGAACAGGAGCAAGAAGATGCAGATGCCACTGATGGTGACGAGACCGAGTAGATTCACTCGTCGTGACATTTTTCGCACACGTCCTCATTCACTGGAAACCAACTGAAACGCACAAGACGAAACCACGCCTTAGAAACAAGGATCTTTTTTCTCAATGAAATTACGTGAAATAAAAACATTTTATCTTTTGTAGGTCACGAAGGAATTTCTCCCATTTAGTGCAATGAATAGCTTGTGTGGTCTTTTTCACACCTAAACTCAACTAATGCTAGTAATTTACAATAATGAAGCGTGCGGGCATAAAAGCAGATTGATTACTCCCAAGACTACTGATAACCACTGTCACTCAGAGCGTGAATTAATGACAACTGACTTACAATTTCGGTGTAACAATCATTTTATTGAACTCGCAATTGGTTTATAGGGACTGAGATCGCAGTTGGATTAAGAAATAAGCTCTGATACACGATTTAAGGATCTGCTTCGACATTCTTGAAAATATCATAGAATTTAGAGAGAGAAAATACTTCGCAGCAGCATAAATAATTTTCTTTCCTTTTCACTAAAAAAAAATACCGTCTTCGGTTGGAAATCATGCTTCACCACAGTATTAAAAAAAAACAAGCAACATCGCGTTTGGAATTCTTCTGCAGAAATTACCAAAGCCTCTCTTCACGCTCGTCAAACAGATGAAAAATAAAACGAAAACGTCCCGTTACGTCTTCCAAACATTCTTCGCTCTCCGAAATCGCCTTTCGCGGGCCTGAGATCACTTCTTGAGAGCAAGTACGACTCCCACTTTGGAACAGGTTCATCCTCGAGTTCACATCTCTGCATTTTTCTCGTCTTCGCACTTCTGTCACGCGAAATTTCGCCTTCCTTGGGCGTCTTTTCGGATGGCAAATATACTGATGGATGACACAAGCTATTGAATGCAAAAAATAGGCGCTATTGAAGGGGGAAACGTCGATTTAGCGTGAGACTTTGGCGTGAATCAAGGTGAAAGACGAGTCGAATGTGGCTTCGAGTCTCACATTTCAGCCTTTTGCAATGACTCTATGCTGTACACACATGAGATATTTAATATTTGCTGAAGTTATGCAGATTTGTGGCTTATCGTGCCACCCGCAGGGAAATATTTAAATTGCCAAGGAAGTCCTTTTAAATTGCTATTTAAACAGGGTCTCACGTGCTATTCCTCGAGAGGTCATAAAGTTTTTTGCCACTAGCTTCTCACCTGTATCACCTCGCAGGCATCTGATGACTTCTGCTGACTAATTAATACATCTCAACACTTAATTAGTGACTTTTTTCATTGTATTTAGGCTAGTTATTCGTATTTCTCTCCATCAAATGCAGCTTTTTTCCGTGTTCGCTGCTCCGCCCTTTTGTGCCCCCTTTTTGCCACATCCACACCACTAATTCACTGCCACTCGTCAGGCTGGCACGGTGTTCGGAGAGCACTTTGAATCCGCGAGAACGTGTCCAAAACACCTCTACTTCATCCTCCAGGTGAGGTAGCAGGAGGCTATTTGCGAAGAATAACACAAAACACTTGTGCACCGAATGACATTTTCCATGGAAGTGTGCTCTGGAATGCTTTCGAGCGCTCTCGACTTCCAATGGATCCCTGCACACACGCCATTCGGACATTCCCATGTAGGGTCATAGGACTATTTGCAGATATCTATAGATTTGTCAGATTATTCTTTGCAGAAAAACGAGGAAAATACTCTTTTTAATTGTATTTATTCGAGAAGAAGTAAAATATTCATTTTATAAAAATACTTCTGAATACTTAAAGACTAATTATGCTGTGTTTAATGAAGAGAAATTTCCAGATCGCTGAGTTGTTGCGATAGTTGCGTTATAGGGCTCAGTCGAGATGTTAGAGGATTGCGACTTTGCTGTCCATTATTCATGGAAATTGGCCAATAGGTGTCTCTGTAGTCAGGACGAATGTTTGATTGTTCTCTGATGATGATGCTTCATCCAACATAAAATGAATCACAAAAGTGATTATTTAAATTATGAATTTCACCATCAAGAATTCCATTCATCAAAGCAAATAATCAATTCCAGAAACTTCTGAAAAACACTAAAACAAGTGATAAATTAGTGCAAATATACTTTGGTAGCGGATGTTTATTTTTAACAAATTCTGCTGAAGATTGCATCCTATCAATTCCCTGAAGAGCATTACCATACCACAAGATAAGGTCTCCCACTGGCTTTCCCAAGAAAATTCCAAAGTCAATCCACCGCACAATGGAAAAGTCCATTAATTTAGCATGATTAATCATCTCGTGTGTGTTCGATTGAGAGAAACCTGAGGATGGGTTTATTCATCTTTTCGCCTCCAACGGCGCCAATTAACCTCTCGCTGCATTGGATGCTGTTGATCTCGGAGGATGAGATTTGATTCAATTTGCATTTAACTTTCTCCCCCGTGCGCACACACTTTAATTGTGTCGGACAATGAGATGTCGAGCGATACAATGCACTTTTAATTACTTCCCCGAAAGACACACAAAGTGGAAATTGCTGGGGCTTTGTTCCAACCCAAAACAGGCACTTTCGCTTTCCTCCAACTCGTGTGCATCCGAAGGAATTTGCAAACAATACACGTGGTTGGTTCAGGTGCCGCCGGAATTACTATACTTCACTCTTTCCACACTTTTCTCCCACTCTCGAGCACGCTCTTCAGTACAAATGGTCCAGCTTAGTGCACTTGTTGTTGTAAATTGCTGTTTTGTCGTGAGGCAGTGAAGCACACTGAGACCACCAAAAGGCTCCAGCATTTTCATGTGGGTTTGCCTTTCTCACATCTTTTCTCTCAATTAATTTGATCTATGTTTGCGTGAGTGGGGAAAAGCTGGGGACAATGAATCAGCTGAGAAATGAGGTGAACAAACGAGATCTTCTAAGTGTACCTCCTCTTGCTCAATCGCCATTCATCAATTCCATTCCCAAACACCTCATTGTCTCTCGCTGTGAGTTAATGGCGGGAAAATTGCCAATATCAAATCGTCATAAAATGATCACAACTTCATATTAACATTGCCGTTGTGTCACTACTCTTGGACGGACTGGCAGAGTGGGGTTGTTGTCGAAAGAACTGAGGGACAGAGTTGCAAAATTGCCGGTCATTCTAGTCAATTTTCCGAATGAATCACACCGGCGCTTTCATGTCCTTGCCGGGATGGGTTGGGCGGGCGGCTAAAGAGGGCTAATTAGGTGCTGGTGATCAGGAGGGGGTCTCCTTTTGGCCTCTGGCGTCCACAAACAAATCATACTCGCGCCCTCTCTTCCCACTCTCGTTCCTCGGCGTCTCTCTTTTTACACTGTTCCCGCATGAATGAGCGAGTGGAAGGCTTCCGTAGAGTGGGAGCTCGATCATCGCGTTTGTGGTTTAGCGTGCACTCTCGACTCCATGCCTCACACACTGCCTTTTAGTTTTGTTGAAGACTCTCGACGGCTCAGACGTACTTGCAGTCGCCCTGTAGCGGTGTGGCTTTCTTCACGCAATTATCGAGTGTGTTGTTCGCGGTGCAAAAGACTGAGGATTATCCAGTGTCTCAATTAATTGCTGAACGACAACTCTCTAGAGGAAGGAGATTCCTAGCAAAAGACATCAAGAAACGTGAAAGAACGCTGACAAAAAAGTTATGATTTGTGTGTGATTCAATTAAGTGAGTTCCATAAGAGAAATTTTCATTAGCATCGTTGTTTTTTGGACGAGGAATAATTGTGTTCTCTCCCAACTTGGCGGCTCGAACACAGGGTGAGTTACTCCACATCTCTCCTCCTCGGTCATTGAGGCATTTCATGAGATTAATGCGCCCACTTCTGGAGGCGCACTCCAGACAAAAAAGAGCCCCCAAGTCCATGGCGCACAAGATGAGAAAGATCATGCCGAGAGTGAAAGATCACACAAGAATCATTTCAACTGAGGAATTTGTAACAATTTAGATGATAATGAACCCAAGTTCGTCGACAATTCACCATGTCTTTTTAATTGGAAATCATTGAGAAAAATGTGGTGACCAAGACGGTTTTTCCACACCAAGTTTCGCTGCACTTTCAAGAGGATCTCCGCGTGGCGGTGTCTTTCCGAGAATCATTACATCATCGATTGTCGTCACTTTTCTGCTAGTTTATTAATTCAATTGTTAATTATTTACCCACAAATACTTGCATAATTACTTGTTTTGCTCCTCTTAACGATATTTTTTCTCCTCTACACTTGTGGCAAATTCCCGTCAAGTCACCCACGTAATCCGTGCTCACAACGTCTATTTACCTGTTCTTCGCGCGCTGTGAGGTAAAATTGACGCGTTTTTGCTCCTCCCGATATCAATCGCGCATTTATAATTGCTGAGAAAGACTTGAACAACTTTATTTTTAAACTATTGGGAATTTTTGAGAGGATTTCACAGAGGGATTTACAAAAAAAACAAGTTTGTGCTTCTGTGGATTTGCCTATGGATTATTGCGTCAATGAATATGTAATCTATATAGGATTATGTGTTGTTTTAAACGTGACGCTCGCGATGCCCAGAGAGAGTGACTTTGTCGCAAATTATCTCATAAAGAGCACAACCTGAAAAGCTGCAAATTGTGAACCAGTTTAAAACTTTATATGATATTTAAAGCCAGCTGAAAAGCCAGAGTGTGTAATCATCTCTTACTTTTTCCCCAATGCATGCATCCCATAATTATAAATGAAAAGCAGAGCAGTCTGCAAAGTCTATTTGCACACATTCACCAATAAAAATGCTGCTCCAATGAATACAGAAGCTATTTTTTTCCCAGAATTGTGCAAATATGAGATATATTTTTGCGATTACACATGAAAAAACGAGATGGAAATTAAATGGCTTATGGGAATTGGAAATGAGGAAGTAATTTTTCAAATACTCTGGCCGAGATGGTGAAAAAAAATTCAGCAGATGCAAGAGATTGCGCCAGAGCCCATTGATTTAATTGCATATTGCTAAGTGAAATGTTACTTGGTGATAATTGCCACTTAGAGTTGAGGTGTAGAGAAGATTTGCTTCTGACTTAATGAGTTCGAATGATGGAGAAAGAATTGAACATGCATTTAGTGCAATTTAGTGCTAATTTGCAATGCTTCTCCGCCACTTTTTGTGGCCTCTTTGGTTGGCCAAATGGAGAAAATTGTGTGACTCTGCTGGAGTGTTTTCTCATACAGCATACATATTTCTAAAACCCAGATGAGGAATCCGGGTTGTTTTTTCTGCCCCAGCGTGGACTTTTTCCATGCGATGACATGGATAAAAAGCCATGGTCCCAAATGTGCAGATGTTTCCCACAGTCTGAACACAGCGAGATCCTCATGCAGAAGGGCAGTTTTGCTTAAATATTTACCCAATATATGGTTTTCCCTCAGCTACGAAAATTGATCCCGTCGCATATACATATATGGTCTATTTTATATCAAAGAAGCAGTGTCTACTGGTAAATTGAAGAGTGTGTATTGTGTATTTAGATAACCTCAGTGCGACAGACGAAAATAAACAGCGATAATCAAGCGAGAGGAAAAAAGTGAAACTTGTATCAAAGATCAAATAACAGAAAAATTCTTCAAGTGTTATTCCATAAGTTTGACCGAGCAAACATTGAATTTAAATTTGCTGAGTATCACATGAATTTGTAATAAAATATAAATAGACGTGGCGACGAATAATGCCGATGAATTCATAATTGTGATTTCTGCAAAAGTATGGGCAAAAAATTGCAGGAATGTGACTATTCAAACCAAATCTTAAAGCACAAAACTGATAGAATTTCCTTCAAGAGCGCTTCTTCGTCGACAAGGGTGACTCTTTAGCATGCGAAAAATTTTGTTTACGCAAATAAATTAATTCACATTTCATTTTCCTGCGTTGGTTATATGGACCAAAACTCGTGGCAGTGTTTGGAAAGCCGAGTCTTGCCAAAGTTCAGCCAATGTTTGCTTTTCTCCTCTCCGTGGACTCACAAAAGCTTGTCAAGAATTCATAAATTCTCTGAAATGTTTTTAGTCATTCATTATTCATGGCACTTGTGGAGAATATTTGCAATTTTATTGTTATTTAATGTGTCTGTTGCATTCTTTTTCACACAGAGTCACTCAAAATGCCTCTCTTGTTAGGCTATTTGGACAAAAGTGTGCCCTTTGCGTCATCCTCTTCTAAATTGCAATTTATTCTTGCATTGTGCTAAAAATATTTATTCACCTTTCCATTGAAGTGATCTTGAGGCTCAATTTTACCTTAGAGTGGATTTTTTGCTCTTTAATGTGTAATTCCATATAATTGCTTTCCTTGCAGAAAAGGGCACTTTTATGCACTGTAAAGATACTTGGAAAAAAGCTCTCAATGCTTTCCAGCACATTATAATACTTTTTTGCCTTTTCGTTACACTTTTATTGTAATAAAAACTCGACACGATACTTAATTGATGGAACACTTGTGAATTATGTCAAAGTGAATTCTTTATCCAATTCCCAAGTCCGATTCGTACATTTGCCAGCACTAATTAAGATATTTCCCTTTTGTCTGGAGGGTTTTACGCGAATGTGAAGCACAATAGACGATGTAAAAAAATCCACTGATGTATTTTTCATCCGCAAGAGACGAGTTGTGGTAGAAAAAATTAATTGGCCATATTGCCAGAGGACACATTTCCTCGGGAATTGAGAGACAGCAGAGATGAACATGGTTGGAGAAATCCACTAAAAGTCATATGTATGATCATGTAAGTGGAATAACCTCCACCTTGTGTTCAACATGTGGTAATGTCTCTGGAGTGACAATTTTCTACGGACAATTAACATGTAAAATTGTCTCCCTCATCCCAAAATTCACTGCATGAGGAATTTCAAGTGCTGGTCATCCGGAAATAACAACCGTAAGACGATTTACACAGTCAATTTCTTCAGATTATTATTCAGAAGCAATTATTTATTTAACACAACTTCCCACGATACTTCCAAAAATGTTTGTTTGCAATGAGATTACGGGGCGCCTCGCAAGGAGGGATGATTGCACTTTACAGCTTCCACAGCAAATAAATCTCAAAAGTTTGTCATGGGAATTTGTGGCTTTCGCCAGCGATACACAAAGTTTCGTTATAACATCTTCGAAATTAAGCTTGAACTTGCCAAGAAAATACATTACACATGATAAATTGCTCGGTAAGTTACTCAAGACTGATCACTTTACACTTACAATATAGATTTTCCCAAAATGTACAGAAATCAATTCCACTTAAACGTCCAATTCTCTTTAGGAAGATGAAAAGTATAAACACGGTGCACGTTTCCGAGATGTGGGTGTGTTTTAAAGTGTCACTTGGTTGTTGCAGAGCGATTTAAATCATCCTTGGCACTCGACGGTCAGAAAAAGTAGTGAGAAAATTCGGCAGGATAGTATATTTGGCTCAGAGACTCGTGCAATAAATTTGCGGCAAGCCGTGTAAATGTGTCGGTTCCTGGAGAGCACCGACGAAGCCGTCATTGTGGCTTTTCCACCCTTCGTAGGGTGAAACCACGGACCACTCCCATCTTCTGGGGTTAGTTGCTATTCTGCGCGGCTCCGAAGTCATGAGTTTCGACTTATCGCTCGAGTCAATGTCCCGCGCTCAAAAGCTGGGAGAGTCCCTCCTCGGCTCCGGTCAATTAAGCCTAATTAAAAAGAACATCGACCGGAAAGTGCAGAGACTTGCGTAAGATTTTGAGGGGGCTTGGAAGTGCATAGAGGCGCGGGCCCTCGTGACACGTGTCGCGTGTAGGACGAGGGAGAGACCTTGTTTGGCAATTTTTTATCACACAGTGAAGAGAAACCACATCTATTCCTCTAGGCCGTAAATTAATGCGGCTCCCTTTCTCCTGAATAAGTCACATTCTGGTCACAGTGTTGAATTTTCTCAATGAGCCCACACACAAAATCTGAATGCGCGCCATATGGCTATACCTTTCCTAATATCGAATCCATTCACCGTTTTGATGGATTCACCCACACTCGCCGGTGGAGCCCAATTTCATTCATTTTTCTGACCACACAGCAACCCACACGTCGGAGAGACACTTTTCTTACACCTTCGGGCATACCCTAAATTACAGCATGGTATTTAAATGCTGCTCAATCTTGTGCCGTTCACACCATCTCGATAGGTGACACGGCGAAGAAACTGGATCTACGGCATTTTTTCCCTACCACCGCGGAGTCTCTTGAACCGTCAAATATTGTGAAATATATCACATCGACTTGATCCATGTAATTATCACAGATTCCTCCGCAATCATTCTGAGAATCCCGGGAATTTGATCATCACAGAAAAGAATCCCTCCGAAAGGGTCTGAGTGGGAAATCTCTCTGCATTGTTATGTAACTCCATGTGGAGGAATAAGCAAATAATTCTGATTGATGAAGCAGTGCCTTTTGTTAGATAGAATCAAAGGAAAGAATTTCTCCCAAACATTCGATATCTCTTCAATTGGATTCCCGTCTGTCGCTGTAAATTGAGATAACAATTAAATTCCTTCCATGTGTGTCGCTTGTTTAGTCTATGGATATGTCGTTTAATGCTATGCTATACACCTCTCAAATCAATTACTTATCATAAAATTATCGTTTCGCTCTTTACACTCTGAAGAAAAATGACTTCAGGCCCTTTTAGGCGACGAATTTCCACTCAGTGTGAGATTTATAGTGGGACGAAGTGACTCGGACGACATTTCAGGAGACAAGACGGCTTTCTTTCATCCTGGCTCTTAATGAAAAGGATAAGATACGCTACTCAAATCCTTATTGTTCTCCTCTTCTCGTCTATTGTCCTAATTAAAAGTAGATTTATTGTGTATTCCAAGTGTGAGATTAGAAGTGTAAGTGGCCTAACTTAAGTAGTAAAACATGCATAAAAAATAAATTTGTCACCGAACTGAAAGTCTGTTAATAGCTGCATATTTAATTTAATGCCACAACACGTGGGCTGACCTAAACCACCCTGTAGATTGATTTATTCTGCCGATTTCACTAAACTTTAATTGCCAAATCACATCGATTAATACACCAATCTCTCGTCTAAGACTAATCGAATTTTCCTATCTTCACATTCTAAATTTCTATGGCCCTTTTAATTGATTCTCCAATTTCCGAAATTAAATTAGATAATGTTAATCACCAATCTATATTCCAAGAATATCTCTCGCCAAGTTCGGATTTACCTCATGTCTTTCTCATTAGCACCTGCTCATCAGATGGGCGCTCGAGGAATGTTTTGGGCGTTTCTGTGTAACTCCTCGGATGTCTTGTAATCCAGCCTGAGAAAGCCGGCTTACTCAAACATCGATTGAACTGTTGGAAAGTCTCCCTCGCAGTTCAAGCGCACTTTTTCCTCCAAGACACTTCTAATTGATGTGCTTCCTGTGCCGAGAATAATTATGACAAATTGATTGATCAATTGACGCTCGTGCAAATTAAATTCCAATTCATGTAATTATTCAATTATCATAGATCTGTTGCATCGAGTCTCGTGAAAGTTTTCTACTTTATGGGCTCTGGGAGGTGTTTTTTGCTTGACCATCGGTGGTCTTTTGTTGTCCGGGGCACGCCAGAGTGAAAAGAGGAAAAGGCCAGAGTCATTGAGGTAATGAGATCAACAGAATTGTGCAGATAGTGATTCTTCTTGCTCACGAATGATCAAGCCTGAGAAAAAGATGCAAAGCGTGTGAATTTTAATATTATTTATTCCCTCCTCAAAGTCACATATAAAGTAATACAGCACAGAGAGAGAGAGAGACAATTCGCCATTGTTGAGGTATTCTTGCCATTGCCATGCAAGGGTGTCTAACTGAGATTCATAAATATCATTAATTTTGTGTATATTGTTCAACTAGTAAATGTGGCACACAGTCACAGGGGAAAAAACGATAGCATTTGAGTGTCACTTCGGAGAAAGAGTTGTGTACTTCTCGCTCTCTTCGTGCAATTATGCTGTTTATCTTTGAAATTGAACTCAATGTTGCAAAAGACGATTACTTCTCGCTGGAAAAACACTTGCAGCATCTCGCGTAGAATTTATTATGTGGAATTTCGAGGCACTGGAGAATTGTTTTTGCGCAATGCAATGCATTTTGTAATGGTGTCTTCCCTCATACAACATTTGCGCTTAATCTTATTCGCGAGGATTTTCTCATCTTTCCCGCCAAAGACAATTTCTCAGGTTCTAGATGCTTCTGTTGTCGACAGTTAGACAAGAGTTTCGCGTTGTTATCGGTGTCATTGAAGCTCTTCATGTCTCATTTAATGAGAAAGAATTTGATAGCATTAATATTGTTGGTATTTTTCTGCGAGGCACAGTTATATTAATGTACAAATGCACATATAAAATGTAATTTGAAAACCATTTTATTAAAAAGGATTTTTACACTCCACTTTCCATGTATTTTAAAAATAGAGACGAATTTAATTAAAATCCCAACTGTGTGTAAGAGTTTGTCTATAAAGTTTTCCATTTGTATGTGTGCACTTATTTCTGAAACGTGCTGAAAAAGAGAACGATAGCAATGGTGAGGTGAATTAAATGGAAACTCGAAATACGTACAGTTCTTGCTAAGCACTCGTAAAATGGACCATTTCCATATATAATCTAATGAATTGGAGCAAAAATCAAATTACAGAGTCCATCGAATTTTAATTGATTTAATTTTACTATAGTTTAGATTTAATTTATAAACAAGGGACTATTCGCAAACACCCAATTTTGAATATGTTATAATAGAAAATTTACGTGCCAAATAAACAACACTGTTTACATGTTTTTGAATTTCATCATGTAATTAACAAATCAATCTTTCAAAATTAGCCCTGAAAATTGTTCACCTCTGGATCAAATTTGCATTACGCTCTCGCTCTATTCTTTACGTCTTTTCGTGATTTTCTTATGAGAACCCAGAGAAAAAACGTTTGTCATGAGGTAATTCAGCGAATCCCTGACTTTTTCCGTGAGGATGAAGAACAGATTATTGATGGAAGAGGGAGGAAGGTCTCAATTACACATTCTTGTGGTCACACCGAATCCATCCGCCGTGGATAAGCGAAAAACGGGCCTGAGAAGAAGGATTCAATTTCTCATTCTCACGCTTTATTACATGCTCCACTGAGCAGCGGGTTACACTGGAAATGTCGATTTAAAATTGACCTCTGAGGAATGCCAAAGACGCGTACTGGGCATTGCACGGAGGAATTCACAAGTAACGACAGTCGAAAAGTGAAAGACTTCCTCTATCCTCCTGGACAGTGACAGACCGTCTGTGAATACTAAAGAGGCCAGAGATGCAGCCAGGCAACCTGTGAGGTTTAAATTGGCTTCAGACATTTGCATTCTCGCGCGCAACTTCCGTTGTCACCTGAATCTTCGTATTCAGAGGTGTCTCTGATGGACAATGTGGAGGTTGGGTAAAAAGGTGTCTTCATATATAGGTATATTATCAATTCCCCGGGGAACTTGTTATTCAAGAGACAGAAGACACCTTTCCACTCGCCTTTCCACATATTCGGAGTCAGGAAAGGTAACCCTATGCGACTGAATGAGTGATTCTCAAGGAGCTCTGAGAATTTTTCCTTCCGTGTCGCACACGTGCGCCTTTTTAGCCACCCTCGCAATTGGAACCCCATAAAGATCTATGGTGTAAAAAGATGTACTTGTAGTCTCTGGTGGAATATAGAAGTGTTAAATTAAATGGGTCCCAGCGAGAGGAGTGAAATTGGAGGTGATATACGGGAGTTTTTAGGGTAAAACAAAGAAGGAGGAAAACAGCAACAGTGACAAATTTCACGTTCGTATGCGGCTTATATTGATAGTGGGTGGGTTTTGTTAGAACAAGCCAGAGAGCACAATGCGTCGAGTTGAAAATATCGCGTGTGACAGATGGGAGATAAAATTGTATTATATACGGCCATAAATTTCCCAATGGATTTTTATTGGGTTTAAAATCTGCATTTTGTAGTTGACACATAAAAGGCGTATTGAGTGCTTGATTGCTTACTGGCTGATGTCAGCCAGTTGCAACCAATTCTCAATTGAACACTTTAAGATCTGCAAAAACACGTGAAGAAAGTGTTTTGCATAAATACAGATTACCTCTCAAAATTTGCATTTGGGGCAAATTCACTCTCTGGATGATTGTAATAAAAGTACCCTTTCGTGGATTACCGCACAGATAATTTCAGCTTATCTCTGTAATTTATGGGCAAATTTAATCATCTTTTACAGTCACTTTGATTGCGACATTTCATTACATCAATTTGTAATTGCGAATAAAAGTTTTACGACAACATATGGATGCAGAACATCTTCTATCCATGTGTGAGAAGTGCAGCTCTGAAGTGGATGTGGGTGACGTTACAGGGCGTGCTGAAAGTGTATCTGGTTGAACAAGGGGGTAAAATCACCATGCGTAACGTAATAATGTGATATTGCCATTTGTTGACTGGGAAAATACTCCCTCTTTGCAGGAAGTGCCGCATATCTCTCATCAATATCGATTGTTTGCCTCTCCATCGCGGAAGCCCAAACAGTGGATCTGAATCTACCTGCATCCATGTGTGGCGGAGAATTGGCCTAGAAGATGCGTGGTGTGCGTGGGATTGAGGGGCCTGGTGTCAATTGAGAAGACATATCCGGTGCTTTGTTGAAAATTGCGTGATCACACACGATTACAATGGAACTCTATGGAATTAACACTAAAGTTCCGCAATGAAAGACACTTGTGAGACTCTGAAATGTTGTCACTATCGAGTCTCCGAGGCTGGGAAGACTCTCCAATGTTGGAGCATCCCACCAGCGAAGAAAGATGAGAACAACTGCTCCATTTATCCAATTCCCATTATCATTCATGTTGAATTATCTTCTAAGCACTTAACTTCTGTGTGCTGCTTTTTTGTCGATGAGGCCCACATTCTCTCTCAGTCTATGAAGCCACATTTGTAATTTCACTCCACGACGAGAGAGTGGAAATTCTAGGGAGCAAATGGCATTTTCAACATATGTAGACTCTTAACATCTCAGTTGACTCCCCTTTCATTTGTGATTCTACAGAAACGGTCTGGAATTAGAACTATTGTGAGATTCCTGGAATGATTTAGGACTGGCATAATAACTCTCATCACAGCAATTATTCACACAATCTGCTTCTTGATAATGTTAAATAAAGACGCTGTGGCCCAGAAGAGAAATTTTGGCGCTAAAATTCCTTCGTCGCGTGGCACCGCTGCAGACGAATCTTCACAATGCAACCACCTAATTAGACCAACAGCACAGTGTTAACCATTCATTAGGCAACTCCATAAAGTGAACTTCTCTTTCACCGTAAATCAATTAGCACACACATCAAAATTATTGAAGTTTCATCTGCACACAAAAGAAAGTCTTAGATAACAAGTGAAGAATTTAGAAGAAGACAAAATGAATATTCCATATCCAAGTCCACTTTAAGTCATCCACATGGCAAGTTTGAGGGAACATTATGTGCATAAAAGTGCAATTTTAGATAAGGAAACTATTTATAAATTCCATCACCACTGCTTCCTCTGCAGTCGCAACTTTGCGACCGTCTCAGCATCCAGTCCAAGTGTTGTTTGGCGTAGTCACATGCTCACGAGAGCAAGTTATTAGTGTAAACTTGTGATGTAGCTCAACATTACTGTAACTTGTTACTCGTGACATGTGGAATTTACATATTCACCTTCTCAAAATTGAACTTAATGTGACAGTGAATCAAGTAGGAATGGGATTATTGCCATTCCTTCTCAATTGTGTGATTTACGAGTGAAATACTCCGGATGCAGTTGAGTGTCGCCGTAGTATATTCACAAATCCTATTTCTCAGCATGTCTCTTTGTTGGGCTGAGGAGGTGTTAAATCCGAGGGTTTTTGCGCCTCTCCGTCCACACGAGTCCTTGTATGGAATGCCGGGGCACTCAAATATACCTGCCAAACAAGAGAATTCTCTTCACTTTGACCTTTTTTCTTCCGTCTGTATCGGATATTGATACCCAAAATCACTTTGTTCTCCGCCAGCCTCTTTCGTGACAAATCGCGCTCCTCTCTATCCATCTTCATACTGGCTCAAAGAGGTTCTCTTTTTGTTACTACAGACCCTTCCACAAGTGAATGGACAGTCTTTCTGGAGGTCAGGAAGTTCATTGGATTTCATTGTTGATGAGGAACACAAGTTAACAATAAATTTGTCTAGCATTTTCTATACAAAAAAAAGGAAAGAGAAATTTCGTGGCGACTTTTTGTGAGAAAAATAGGAGTTTATTGTATTTTGATTTGCACAATGATGAAACAGTTTTTATTGCATTCCAATTTCCAATTGATTGTTTTTCATTTATCTTACATGCGAATATAGGAAAAGAAGAAATCAATAGTCAAACGATTACCGGCTAATGGCAAAATCACAGTAGGTTATCAAGATCTCAATATTATTTCTACAATATTCGATCCGTTTCCGATAGTAGGCACTGTACATTTTTTGGAGGAAAAAGAAACTGTATTTTGGGGAAATTGGACCACGGATGGCTGAAAATGAGAGAGCGAGCTCCACCTTAGGCTAGTATGCGGGTGAAGAAGGGCTAAACAATATTGTCTGAGCTGTTTGACGAATGGATACAAGCTTGTGTACAATATGAGGTTGTCGTCATGGTCTTTCTTGATCAACCAAGCATATCTCCGTGATTCTCTATTCTACATTAAAGTGATTTTCTCATTTTATTCGCAGTCTTCCCTCACTCCCGCATTGTCTCTGAGATTTTGCCTGTCTCTCGACTTGTCTAACATGAGCAGTCACACAAGGAAATCATGACGCTCTCCTTGAAACACTCTGCAAATCTCAGCAAATCTGCCGTGTGTGTTCAATTGAAACATCTCTGTTCCCCTAAAAAAGAATCACGGTTTATTTTTGTTGCCTCGCCATCGATGAAAAAACGCTCGTCTCACTTGAATTACTCCCTTGACTGCATATGAATACGATGTGAATTGATCGAAGATATATGTCTGTATTTATCAAATGTGAGATTTCGCAAAATCCAGCACTGGGAAAAAGGGCTTTTCCGCTCGTGAGGAGATATGGAAAAAAAATATTTAAAGAAATGCTGAATTCTCTACACAAAGGCTTGATGCCAGAAATAGAAAGGATTCTTCCAATTGAATTAATGTGGACACTAAAAAATGAAACCAACTCGGCGTGCAGGCAATAATTTGATGAGTTGGTGGTTTTCATTCCATCTTTCGACGCTTCGGGTCGAAAAGAGCCACTTCTGAAGGGAAATTATTCAGCATTTAATAGAGGAAGTGAGTTCCACTTTTTATCAATTTCTATATTTATTTCGTGATTATATAATTTTGTCAAATGAGACTGGATAGCTTGGCCATTGAATCCATTGGAATGTTTCGTTTTATCCATGCTGTGATACAAAAAAAAAAACATGCAAATCAGAGAGATTTCAGATGAGTTTTCATGCTTGAGCATTCCACAGATTTGTCAAAGGCACTCATAATTTCCAACACTGAAGCTCTGTTTTTGTCATGAAATTGAATTATTAAATAAAAACAGAAAAATGTGTACGAAATATATTACATAAATACACGGACACCCAATTGAAATGCGACGTAGGGTTGGAAAGAGGATAAAGGGATGAATTAACTACGTTTGTCATTCGCTCTGATTTTCCTCTTTGCCACATTTTTGCTTTGCCAGAATATTTTTCGGACAGTTCCAACGAAAGCGACCTTGCGCACCTTCACATTGTGCTTATGCAAAATCGATGAATTAATATTTTGCACGAATTTGAAATTCATGCAGATGAGATAAAATATTACACTGAAAGATAGTCGTAATTAATTTTTTCGGACAGTTTTGTGTGAACTCTTTCTTTCACTCACACGAGAATTTTTTCCCATCGGTGAAAAGAGCGACATTTTCCGTTTTCTGCCCATGTATAAAATTTATCTACTCTCCTTCCTTCTTTCTCTTTTATTTTAATGTCCACCTCGGTTCCCTGTCGTGTGTGTGTTGCGTCGTAGGGAAAAAATCCACATAAGCGGCGACGAAGAAGAGTGGGAAAAATTGCCAAGATATAAAAATAAATTATACACTTGAAGATCACCTTCGATATCCGGTGTCGGGTGAATGAATCAGTTGGGCGCAAGGTGATGCTTTCACGAGGATTCCTGTACACTTGGGAGGAACGACTTTGAGGAATGCACAACAACTCGGAATTAAGCATTCAAATTGACATCATAATTTAAATGAGATTAAGGCACTATTTAAATCACGGCCTAATCGATTTCCGTGCGGGTATTTATCACCTCATTTACAAATTTGTCGAGAGCCTCACAATATCAGATGAGATATTTCCAACACTCCTAATACTCATCATCGCTGATTTTCAGTTCAGTCTAATTAGGCTTCTTCAAATCTAGTTCATGCAGAGCAAGTTCTCGTTAGCCGCTGAAAATGACACTGATCTCATAAGCGCTTATGTAAGAGCTATCAAGCGCCATGGAGAAGAGACGAATTCGATTGAGGGCTGAGCGGTGAATGTACTGCTTCAGTACAGCGCGCTCTTCCCTTGCGAGCCTGACAGTTTTACTCCAGAGTTGTAAAAGTACCACGACAGGGATTACCTCGGAGTGTTTGGGTGGAATGTGGAGAGCAATCTGGAGCTGGATGTAGAGAATACTCGAGAGGAAATAGGAGAGATGGGCTGCTCTCGATAAGACTCACTCTTGGAATGTGGAGAGTGTCATCGACGAAGGCTTTCCAATCTCACTTTCAGCCTCTCTGCGCACACACAATTATCCTAAATTGATGTCAATTGCTGCGTTCATTTTCGTGGGACATCCAAAAACTCCACTGGAGGCAAATGACCAGACAATAAATCTCTCTCGAGTGTTTAGTAATATATCGATTTTGTCCGTAATCGAACACGATGTGTGCTTTGGACTCTTTGCTCACGCCATGCACGCAACTTTCTGGGGCAATCGACATTTTAGATGATTACGCATAATTAAAATGTCTTTTTTCCTCTGTTTCTGTTTCGTTCCACTCAATCTGGAATGTCATCTCTTGCGTCTCAATGGTGTGTCTCAAATGTTCACAGCGCGAGATTGTGGAGAAAATTCTCAGACTCACGAGACAATTTTCTCAAGAGAGATATAACAAAACGAGATCTATTATTCTGTAAGTCAAGTGGCTTCTTTTCCGCGCAAAACTCGTGCATATTTTACTGAGAAAAAGTGCCATCCTAAAGAATGCTCTTGAGACAATTTTGGGTTTTGTTGGGGCGCGTCTCCGTAAATGCCTATAAAAAATTCACATTGTGATGTTTTGAGGGCGAAAGGGGATTGTGGTCGTCAAATTAACTGCTACAAATCTAACACAAATTCGCTCTTTTTGCAACTTTATCTGTATCACGACCTATTTCCAAGTATACGACTCAATATAATTTAATGACTCTTGCAGAAGGAGTGCACTCATGAAACTGATCTCATTGTACATCTCCCCGTGAAGATTCATATATCAATTTATATAATTATCGCAGTGAGAAGTAATCCTCATGGAGAAGAATTTCTGCATCAAGTCCACAGAGAGTAATGCAATTTGTGTGAAATGCCAGCATTGTTCGCGATATTCTTGTGTGATCCACATTTGAAATTGATAAAATAAAATGGGCGGCGTGAATGTCTCATGCTCCATTAAATCAATACAGAATGCAATGTTTTCAATTTATAAGAAATGATGATTCAGATATTTGTGAGACGGTTCATTGACACTCAATCTGTTTCGCAGATGCTGAAGCACGTTCAAATATCGCCTCTTCGCAACCGATCGGACTCCCTGTCACTGCGCTCCAACACGTCATGCTCGTCTTCGCTGTGCGGCAGTCCAGAGCCCAGCGATGACCTGCCCGCGAGAAGTCCATCGAGGGCCTCGAGCTACTCCAGCCTCAGCGACACAGTCCCACAGGTAAGTCCGCCACTTCCGCTCACCTTCTGGGATGATGGTGACTTTTTTCCCAATCTCTCCGCCGCTTATCTTATCACGCTGCTTGTTTTTCTCCTCGTGTGACCAGGGCCAACAGAAAAGCGCCCGAGGAGATGAGAGTGTCATAAACAAGACCCCTCTGAGGTTCTTAATTTCCCCGCATTCATATACCGATGGAGGCAATGAAATATTCACCATACTCCGCTGCTCAACAATATATTGAGATAGTCTTACATAATGAAATTGCTTCCTCCAAACTCTCAAATCCCAGACTCACAATGAAAAATCTCTGTGAATTGCGTTTTCAATGGAATTCCCTCGTTTTCCTCCTCTCGAGACTCTCCTTGATTATGCTCACAAAAAATGCGACTGGAAGATATTACGAGACATCTGGTTTATTGGATGGCGCAGAGAATCTTTCATCGAATTAATTTTTCTTGGCTTCTGTTCTTCATTTCATTCTCCGCCGTATTCATCTCTGCACACCCACAATTTTGAGCGGAAATTTTTAATAGCTTCCATATGCCCTTCTCTTCACGCTGCGTGCGATACCATCGGAGCCTTCGAGAGGCATCTCAATGGTCCTCCGGGAAGATTTCACTCTGTTATGCTGTTGCCGGTTTATCTTTCTCCCAGGCAAATAACAAATACATCTCCAGCCCCGTCTGAAGGGCGTTCAAGTTCCACGATTTCCTCCATTTGCCACGCTATAGTTATCAAATTTGAAATCGACGGAGCAAAATATTTGCTGAGCGCGCTATTCATCTTATCGCTAAAGGGTCAAAACAGTTAGGAAAGGCAGCAGTTCTTTACACTTCACATCATTTTAAAATTAAATCATTCCCACTTGCGAGCCTCTCTGTGGATTTGCTGAAGGGAGAGAAATTTCTCAGTGTTGGTGAGAGAAAAGAAATATAGAAAATCCTCAACAGGAAGTGCCAATAGGTGCATCCCGAGCGTCGACTCAAGAGCATCGACTCTGCATGCCTGCGACGTGATAATGTCAAGAAATTCAATTGAAACTGGTTATTGTGGCGAATTAATTAGCGATCTATCATTTAACGGACAATTGAGGCGATTACTGAACCTATGACGGCATCCCATGATGAAACATCAACATTGTCTACGCTCGTCGCCGCTCATCAATGTTTATTTCATTTGACCATTTCCTTTTGGATTTTCTTTTGCTAATTTCGATGCCGATGATGGTCTTAATGGCATGAGGACGGGATGGGCCGGCGAAGGCGAACGCTGGCACAATGGGATCTTTTGAGTAAAATTGTAGATGGGAAGGAACAGAATGAGAGCCATTTGGTCACAGTTGAGTGTGATTCAAGGAAGGAGAAATTCGATATCCCTGGCGTGAGGAAAAAACAACACATTATAAGGGAGAGAAAAGTTGTTCAGCAAAAGTCTTACCGCCTTCTATGCTTTCTGAGAAATGCGCATTCTTGGGGCGCTTCTTGTGCCATGTGTCTGAAAAGACAAAAAAAACAGGAAGCACGTGTTCATTGTTCGATAGAATCCAGAGCTACACTAGCTCTTCCTGCGAGGACGAGAGAGAATTTTTAGTTAAATTACTTCCCGAAATTATCCCCCAGTCCACGATTGACACGTCTGAGTAATCTCGTGATTTTTACAGCTTTTCCGCCATCATGCCAGATAGATGATACTCAGGTGGAGGGAATATTAAATTTCATTGCCGAAGGAACATGCTGGGCGGCCAGTGCTCAGTATTCACTGAAAAATTGAAGAGAACTGGAATCCTGGGGCCCTCGTCACTTTTATATCGCCCGTGACATAAAGTGCTTTCAGCAGTTTTCGCCGTCTCGACTCACGTTGAATGTCACATTAGAGTTGCAAATGTTGTTTGTTATGGTTCGTGCTGTTTATAATTTTCCCACTGAAATTTTATCTCCACTCCCTTGCTCCTCTTAAGCTCTTTTTGCACCATTTTCGCACACTTTAGGATTACTTCCGGAGGGAGCCTTTTCTGAAAATGTTGCCTTCGACTTGATGTTTGCTCCCTGGAGTTCAGTGATGTTGCAATGCTAGGCTAGAAATGGTTAGGATACATGATTGGATTAGAAGGACATCTAATATTGTCTAGAGTCTCTTCGTGGCCTTATTTTACGCTTAACACTAAGACCAAATATAAAGGAGAATTTGGCGGGAAAGCTGAGTAAATCGATTTGAAATGCCGGGAAAATTGAATAGAAGATTGAATTCTAAAGCTCAGAAATTATATTATCCGTAGATCCACATTCACTTGCAATATGTGAGAAACCACCCCATCTTAAATCCCATCATTCGCCTTATAAACACATCCAATGAGTATTTTTAAATTTCTCCTCTTTTCTCTCTTCCCAATTTTCCACACCGGAAAACAATTTAATGTAGTGGGAGCGATTGAATATAATTGTTTCGCCTAGTTTTTGCTCTCCACCCAAATCTCCGACATTTCTATGGATTGTTTTTTATTATGCCTATATTTTCAACTATAAATAATTCCATTTTCCTCTTGCATCTCTCCCGTTTTTCTGTTTATGTTGGCAATCAGTCACGTTCCACAACACACGGAGTGCACTAATGTTGCGTGGGTCTTTTTGTCGCGGGCCCTTTTTTTGCCGACCCCATCCAATAATCATAGTAATTGTTGCCAGTGCTAAAATCAACGTTGAAGTTGACGAGGAAAAAGTCTAAATGGTAGAGGAAGGAAAAGCACATTATATCTGTTGAAATTATGGACAATATGGGCTCGCAGTGCCTTTTGTTATGTGAGGAAACACATGTGAAATTGTTCATGTGTGTCGCATTTGAAACTAGAGATTATATGCAGATATATTACGACTCTTAATAATATCTAAAGTACAGAAGATATGGCCAGGAATTTCTAAGGTATAATTTGCAAGAGTTGTTTCGTAAAGTCCTCTTAAGCCTGAGTATCTAATTAGGACTTTACTTTTGATTTCCCCAAGTACATAGGATTTCATTATCACGCCTTTTCTCAGTGGTTTATTAAGTCACTTGATAAGGGGGTGAAGGATGGCCTAAGCCAGCAGAGGTTTCTTCAAATTAATATCAATTCCGAATCTCATTTGTTACTCGCAACTCCCCAGTCGCCATGCAACATTTTCGGTTCCTGGCGTAATCAGGCAGGAACTCATTCATTCATACTATGTCTTGTCCTCCACTCTCGGCGGAGGCATAAAGCGGATGTGGCTGGTGTGTTGAATGTCTTTCCAGAGACAGATATTGTTCTTTGCCGCCACTTTCGCTATTTATGGACACTCGCCTCTGCCTCTTCCGCCGCCAGGGGTGGCAGGAAAACTCCACTCCTGGCGGAGGCTTTGTCACTTTTCGGTTTCTCGAGGGACATTCGAGTGAATGGGGTGAAAGAGAGTGAAAGTGAAAGTGAAAGACATAGGATGAAAAATATCTCAGAGCGTCTTACATAAGCATTTGCGAGACGCTGAAAAATACAAGCAATATATTTTTTGAATAAAATATGGGACATTGTCGTGACATTGCTTTCAGAGATGAAATGTATTCAGCCTCTCGGCGAAATGCTGCAGAGACATTCGATGTGATAAAAACTTTTCTGGGAAAATCATTGGCTAGACTAAACAAATCGATTGTCTCGATTATATATATTTGAGTGATTTTGGAGAAATGATTCAATTTCATTGGATTGACCTTTCAGGTCGATGTTGCGCAGTTTTCTTACAGTATAGCTATAGGAAAACACTGTGTCTATTTGAAGTCTTTATTAATATTGAATTGTGCGAACGCTTGGTTGAGACACTTCATCCCGCCCTCCAGCATGAATATGCGAGTGAATAAGATGACAAACAAGTGATTATGATTCAGAAGCTTGCTCGTCATGTCGATGAAGGACGCACTAGGGCGAGTTCAAGTGCCCTGACCTCTTTTGAAATGTTCCAAGAATTCCAATTTGCCAATTTCCCGGATATCGAGATATGCGTGGCGGTGAAAAAAGCTTGAATGACTTCAGTGGCGTTGAAAATTGAGATGAAAGATTGCAGAGAAGTATCACGTATTGAGCTTGTTTTTCCTCCCAGCACATATTTCTCATGTGCCGAATGGGAAGCGATGTGGAGAAAATAGAGGAAGACAGAACCACAAAGGGGATGCGATAAATTTCCTCAATTAAGCAATGCGACATATTTAAGAATCCATCTTCTAGTTTGTGCTCAACGGGATGATCCACCAGTCGGAGCTCAATTGGAGATGATTTTCTCATTCGTCTCAACTGATTGATTGGTTAATGCTGTTTCCGCTGGAGAGATTTATTTCCTTCTTGAGCTCTGGAGAGAAAAAAAATGTTTATTTATAAATTCTGACTATGTTTTGGGGACGAGTGTGAGCACGTACTCATGGAGCAGGAAATAATGTAATTTACATCAATTGAAGCACGAGCATGAATGAAATCCACCCACGACGAAATGACGAAATGATTCTCTCGAGATGCTACTCCGGTGATGGGGGGAAATGCGTGGCCCTGAGAGAAAAAGAGAAAAGTGCTTCAATATCCGGTCGTTGTTCTTTGATCTTCCCTCTTTTCCTTCCCTACCTCAATATGTTTATATTTCTTTCTCTCGAGCGGCGAAATTAATGATCATGAAAAGATGCTTCTCGTCTTATGATTATTTCAACAAGAAACCAAGTGCTGATCTAATTATTGACGGACATTCCGTTTTGAGGACCATTGATTCACAAATATACTTTTCTTGAGAAATTTTCATGCAAATTTCCGCACAATTTCCTGTCGATTTGCTGTCGGGCGTTTTGAAAGTACCTTCGCCATGGCAACTCCACATATGTATGTGTGTTAAGAGGATGAAGGGATATGCATTTAGGATATCATCTTATACCTGGGATAAACCCTTTTTCAGTCACTCTCTCGAGTGAGTGAGAAAGTATCACATGTGCACGAAATCCGGCCCGGATGCAGTCTCCTCAGCTCCATTATGAATAATTCCATCTTCTATTTTCCCTTCAATTTGAGAAACATATCGCATGCTAAGCTGCGACTCATATTCCACGGCATACAAGACAATTCACTTATACCTGCATGATTTTTTCATCCAATAAACACCAAACGGCTGCCGAGAAACCGTCTCTATGCCACCCACAATTCCAACTTCCATCACTTTTGATATTCTGAGAAAGTCCTCTCGAGCATGCTAAAAGAAGTTTTTCCACATGTTTGCGAAGAATTCTGTGAATTCACACGCAAATCCATGCTTTTTCCGATACTTCGCTGTAAATCTTTTTGTGGGAAAATCTCTAAGGGCGGCCCAGAGGGCGCCAAGTGCAAAGTTGAATTTTACAAGTAAACATTCAACAATAAAACACCCCCTACAACCGTTTGATGGGGTGCTATTGTGGCTTTAACGAAGGGTTTGGCTACCACTTGAAATTTTCCATTTCGCGTTTTTACCACGAAACGTCTCAAGTTGATGACGGTTAGATGCCAAAAATAAACCAGATATAATACATATTACACGCCAAATACAGAAACGCACGTTCTTATTGTTGAGGCTAATTAGTGGAAAATATGTTGGGATTTTCTGGGATGCTGGATACATTTGTTTATGCTTCCATGAATTTTGACTGTATCCAAAGTGGATGATAAAAGATCTCCAACTCATTACCCTGTTCCGGTCCACGTGAAATCTTATCGGATATTTTGCATAATTAACTGCCTAATGTACAGATAATCGGGTAATCTCAATTTGAGAAAGTGAGATAGTGTCTGTTAATTATGCAATTATCAGGCTGATTCTCTCTGCTTACGTTCAACTTGTTGAATAATAATTAATATGTTAATCAATATAAGGGATAATGTGTTGACTTTTTAAAATCAAATCGATCTTAAAGTAGCTTTTCAAACATACACAGCAGCGGCATTTAGCGTTGAAATTTTGAATCCTCTTATCTTTTTCAACTGTGCAAAACAAGCATAATTCCAATATTGTATATGGTCTAAAGTAGCTGAATCTCTTCCCAATTTATTTGTACGGATCACATATTTTTGCATGTTTTTGTGAGTTTTTTTCTGATGCCTAACATGGCTCTTGACACTCCCTGCAAACGAGGGTTTCCATAAGAAAGCTGAGAGTTTTGGGAAAGAGTGAGAAATCGAAGCGGGATTGAGTTTCAATCTGCAGACTGTTTCTCCGTGGCTCCCCAATATTATTACACATAATATTTGAGATGATGGATTTCTGGGTATGATTTTCCATTTGCAATGTAATAACATTAGGAGAAATGGTGTTGATGTTCATACAAATTTTCTTCACTCTTTCTCGTCTCGTCTCTTGTGACAAAGGAGTCGGAGAAATGAAATATTCAAGAAAGTTGACTTTTTTCAACTTTTCTTGGCTTTATTTTACAAAAAATATGATGAGCAAGTGATGTTTTCGGAGGTGGCAAGCCCAAAAAATACAATCAAGAGTGCTATTTTCTTGTCTAACAATCCTCTTTGGCTTCTTCTTCCGCAATTTCCTGTCATTTCTTTGAACTACACTCTTATGTGCTAAGGGACAATCCTATTCACTGTCGGAGAAAGTATAATTCCTGATTCCCGCTTGCCGGCAGTCATTTCGCTGCTATGTAAATTTCCACAATTGTTGGGAGTAAATATTTGTACAGCATTTTCTTGATTTGAAAGTATGTGTACATTTTTCAGGAAATTAAGGAGCTTCTTGGACAGAGAAAATTTCACTAATTAAAAGCGAACATTTTTATTTACACCATAAAGTTTTCAATATAAAGTTGGAATGTGGAGAAAATTTGTCAACTACTTTCTGAGGATGTTCCTTAATTAAAGGAAGTGTGTTTAATTCTGAAAAAGTGCAAATGCCTAAAGTGATAAATCAAGTTTCCAATTTCTTCTTCACTGGAGCTCATTACTTTACATTCAACGGCACTTTTTGGCACGGTTTCGAGAGGCAATATTTCGAATGTCGAAGAAATTGTCTGAAGAATTAATTCTGATAAATTATAGGGTATCCTCGGAACCGTCATTAGTATTTTCTTTTTCTTGCAAATCATTTTACTTTCCCTCTCAAAATTTTACTGCTTTTGAGCATTTTTCACAATTATGAGCAAAATATTCAGTTTCACAACTCCGTGAATTCTATAAATCATTTTACTGCCCATTTAGACTCTCTCCTTGTTTCGGCTAATCTCGAATTCAGGGCAGAAATACGCGTCCTTAATCGTCGGTCGTTTACTTAATGAAAATTATATCTGTCCGTAATTAATGTGACACAAATTGCTATTAAAACTCGAGTGGTGGATAAGGAATTTATCCCAATTTGCGAGGCTTTGAAGGATTTAAAGGGCAGTTCAACTTTAATCGGGGAATTTCTCAAGAGATGCATCTTTAAGTGTAGAAATTTCAAGGATTCGGATTTCATTGAGAATTCCACTAAATTGTGGTTTCAAGTTCTGATGGATCAATAACACCTGAGATGTCTTCGTTCTCCCCTAATTTTCCCCATTGATGAGTAATTTCCAAAATGTTATGCCAATTTAGCCGAAAACCACGGTCTTAATTAAATTGCCTTGAGAATTGTATGTCGAGTGATTTAGGAGTTTGAATGGTTTCATTGTGATGAAAAGTTTATTATGGAATGTTTGGGTGAAATTCGCTAGAGGCATTCTGACCAGATTCTCGCCTATTGCGCTCCTCGAAATGCGATGACAATTTTCATAAACTTTTATGGGCGGCCCTTTGTGTCGATGGTAGATTGTAGGGAAATTTTGAGGCAAATGCGCCAATTCCGAGACTGAAAATATGCCTGTTTACCCAGTTTTTGCACTTTAAAGCAACCCGTTTGCTCTTCCTGTCGCGAGAGTTGGGGAAGGAAGCCCTGAAGTTGATCAGCAACTTGTCAATATCTAGTCTTCGATGGGTCTGTTTTTTTCCCTACGACTTGTGCGAGAGGAAATGAATTAAATTGCACGTGTTCGGGAGATGTAATGGGGAAGAACCATATAGCGATAAGATTGAGAGTGTGAATAAATAGGAATTTGATTTATTTTCGCAATTTCCTCTCACCAGCCTTTCTCTTCTTCCACTTTTTGCAGACGACGATTAAGATATTCACCACATGCCTGAAGATCGACATTGAATACAAGACGCTGGGCATTCAGTGGGACTCCACGAGTCGCGAGATCGTGGCGCAAGTCTTGAGGCGCTGCAAGATTCGTCATAAGGACCCCAGACTCTTCTACCTGTCCATGGAGGTCACAGTGCGCCGAGCTGGCGTGAAGACGCTCCTGGTGTTGGATGATGAGGCACGTCCGGCGATCTTACAGGCGTGCCACCCCAAAGGTGACTCACGATTCTGCCTACAGCTCAAGGCGGGCGGCCTCGTGCGCGTCCACACTTCAGCCCTGCAGCCACTGTCACAGTACAAGAGCCTCCTCATATCTGAGGAGACCACGTCGGACGAAGTTCTGGGATTGCTCCTCACCACGTACAATTCTGCTGAACCAGTTGAGCAATTCTCCCTCTACGAGGTAAGATTATTGCCATTCCTTCACTCCCTATTTTTCATCATAAGTCTCTCTCCGCACGACAATTGCAAATGCTGGACCAGATTCTTCAATATCTTGCGTGATTGATTTGGAAATTGATTTTGAAGAAACCTTCACTTCTCTTTTTTAGAGAATGTAACTCAAACAACTGACAATATTCTGTCGAAGCGAAAGCGATAAAAATTGATAGTGCTTTATATTGCTTCGTATAAAATATTTTATAAAGAAATATATAATTTTATTGATGACATTTCCAACACTTAGCTTAAAGGCACTGCACAATTTCCCATGGCTGTATAAGCATAATCTATCAATAAGCTTTGTCAACATGCAATAGTGTAAATCAATATTGAAATCGACAATTAAGACATTAAATTGGACTTTCAATTGCTCAGGGGGTTTTATTGTTGAGAAAGCTTCAAGGGTGATAAATTTAATCATCTCATGTCGGAATTGAATTCACAAATTGGTGCATAAACCTCTAAACTATCTAATTAATTCTGGTGTTTCCAATGCTCATTTTGCTATTTCGTTCGTTTATACATGTTATCTTGTAATTTACAGGTGTGTCCGAGTCAGGAGTATCAGCGAAAACTGCATCCGGACGATTTACCACTGCGTGCTCAGGTGCAGCGACAACAGCGCGGGGAAACATGCCATTTCCTGGTGCGTCGCAACCCCAATTACCCTCGTCGGCGGCAGATTTTGCCTCCGATCCAGGAGAGCAATCCATCTCTGGCCGCAGATCAAACAACGCCAGCCAAGGCGGAAGAGACAAAGGCCGAGGGGTTGACCGTTAAAAGCAACGATGATGTTGGCAAAGGTATTTGCAAAATGTGCAAGAACAGCTTCAAATCGTGCGAGTATTGCAACAAAAGCTCCCCGAGGGATAAAGCGGCCAACAGTGTTTCATCCCACCCTTCACCATCATTAACATACCATCCGGTGTACAACATCAGGGAAATTAGGACTGTTTGTCACTCATTTTCATCTCTCGGTATGGACAAAAAGCTGCTGGACATCAACATGAAACCGCCTGGACAGCGGCGAGGACAGACAAAGAGCCGACCTTATGGAAATTTTGTGTATATCTGAATCAGTTTATCTCGAATATTGTTCATTTAGCGATGATTACGAACTCACTTTAATCCACCTACACACATGTTACAATTTACCCTCAAACGCGAGAGAGTATTTTTATACATAATTGTATTCATTTAAAATTCACAAGGCATTTCTATTTAAGGGATGTTTCAGGGCAAATTTGGCACCAAACATGGCTCGGAAACATCGTTTGCCAAGGAGGAACAAGAGAAGACCAAAATACTAGTCACATTCATATCAAATATAAATGTATTTCATCTAGCTATCGAGGCATAATATAAAAGTAATGGCAAGATTAATGTATAAAGTTTCGCATATGGCCTAACTTAGTGAAATCACACCGAGAGTTTGCCTTTTTCCGCCAAATTAACCACGCAATTGCGAACAAATTGGTCGGATAAATTGATTTATTTCATCACCTTTTGCAGAGCTCTCAAGAGGTCTATAAATCCAAGAGAAGCACATTAAAATAATCTTTTTGTCGTACATTTACGAATTGTCGTGGGTGTCCCCTTGAGAATGGCATTTGACAAGAGATTTTTTGATGTTTTGGAATATTTTCGCATGTATTGAATTCCTCGAACGCATTTGCTTTGATGTTTGTTATTTTTACAAGCTTTGCAACAATTTTCCTCTTAATTCATAAATCTTATAAGAATTCATGGAAATTAAAAAGTTAATAAACTCAAGAAAACTTTCTAAATACTTTTACAACTTCATACGGTTATGAAACGTCATTCAATTTATTTTCCCTGGCGGAAAGCTAAAAAAAAGAAGGAATATTGATTTGTCAGGAAAAGCTTCAAAGCCTTGTTCCAAACTCTTTCCCGAGTCGGAAGTTTTACATGTAAAGTCCTTCTGAGTAATGCGAAAATGGCGCTTGAGGAATTCGAAAAGAAAATTCTAATAAAGAATTAATTACTCTTCCCCTCTCGATGTTTTTGTTATTAGAACGTCTTTCTAGAAAATTATACCACAGCGAGTATGGTAATTTATAACAAATATCTTGTATATCTTGTAACATTAAAATTATCTCAACCTTATAATCTCAATTGAAGCATTTTATAGAATACATAAAACAAATAGGCTCTTAGTTCTTTGTAAGAAAATATAGCACTTCTAAAGACAACAGTGTTGGCCAAAGAAATGACAAAAACAAGTAATAATAAAGTGTAAGCAAAGAAGTAACATAGAAATATGTATATTTTATAGTATCGAAATAAAAGCAGCGTCTAGAATCTAGAAGAGTGAAATTGAAAATTATTTCTGGGGTTTCACTCCACAGGGATTTCCTCTCCACCTTCTCAATTTGCTGGATAATTTTAGATGCCTTGCCGAAAAAAGCTCCTCCGGGTTTTAACGAGTTTTCCCAGTTCCCGGAGAATGGGATATGGAATTTCTGAATTGGTTTTTGATGTGAATTTTTCGTGGGTCGCGACACTTTAAGTGATTTGAGTGACTGTGAATAAATAGCCGAGAGAAAAACATCAAAACTTCGGAAATAAAAATGTCTTCACAGTTGGGTGAAAACATGAGGAGGAGAGTGTGCGGAAAAATGAATATTCGGCTAAAATGTTTTTACAGGCCATCACAAGGATATTTGGCTATTTTCAGTTGCAGCCACAGTTTGTTTGTATAGCCAATTTCTCTCTCGGAGCCTCAATCTGCTTATTGTGCGACTTTCTGGACTGTAGAAACTCCTGAATGTACATTTATACAATAGGAAAATGTTGTTCTTTGCTTTATGGCCAATATTGGATTTTATACGCATCCATGATAGCCAAAAAAAATTCAATTTGACATCAGAAGATCAAGGAATCAATCAGTGTGAAAATCATTTGACCGTTTTTGTGATTCATTTGCTAACCACATCAAATTGGAGGTGGAAAATTGTATGGGGCATCAAAATGTTATCAAAGATTATCTTCACTTTTTATTTGACCTGAATTTTCATCACTTTCCTGTATAATTGAAAGTAAACTTTGATAATGATAAAAGGTGCCCAGAGCGTATTATCCAATAAATTTCATTATAGCGACGAGATACTGAACACTTTAACGAAAATAAATACCGCTCTTTGCCTTTATGCAAATTATTTTCCGGTGTTGAACAAACTTTGCAATGTTTGGCATTTTATGCTTGCAGCAGATGTGGCATGCAAGGTATTTCGAAAATACCTGTGCTCAAATCAGGACTCAAATACAATATCAAGACGTGCTTAATTTATCAATGATTTGTGACTGCCATTGGAGAGTTTGCTCTCATTTGATATTCTCCCTTTTGAGAACATGCAAATTGGCTAAAGGTACACATATTTCCCTGTTTTCGACAGTCAGTAAAAAAAATGTAAGAGACAATTTTAATAAGGCTTCATTTTCCGTGAGATTCAAAGAAGAGAAGAATTATTTTGGATGTTGAAGCGTGTAATTATCGGTAATTGCAATATTGATGGTGACTTCTTAATGAGCTCCAATGCTGCAATTATTTTTAAAAGGATAAGAACCTCCTACACGACCTTCTAACATTTTTATCTAATTTCCCGACTCTTAATTGTCTCCACTGTCAAGACTTTCGCCGAGGGGAAACTTTGCATGTTTTAATGATGTTTCACTGCTGACAACCACTCATTTAGTCTACTTGCCGGCGCATGTGGTTTCTCGCCGCGGGAGCGATTTGAACATTTCACGTCTGCGAGCATTTGTGAAATCTCTCTCAAGGAAAGTAATTAGAGCAATTCCGAGGTTTTCACTCAAAATTGCAGTGATATTGTGGCAAATGTCACTTAAGATAATCCTCTTATGCGCTCACATGTATTGAATTGATTGACTTTATACACAAATGATCCGATTTATGACTCTCTCTTGCCATTTCTCGGTTGCAAAACATTTCCGCAGAGTATATTTGATGTGACAGCAGAAGCACCTCAGTGTATAATACCCATTTGCATTTTCGGTATAATTGAACACATCAGTAAATGTGGCTGCAGAATTAAACATCGAATTTATATGCGTCTCGGCGCTGGTAACATCGACGTTGTATGGTATCAAATTGCTGGCGGTAATGCAATTAATGTAGAATCATATTCTATTGCAAAAGTTTGCAAATCTGCGGTTGCTACTGTAACCAAATTATTATTAACATTTTCAACAAAACACACTCAGTTCCCACTCACTATGTTTAATTTCAATCTTGAAATTAGAGCACCACTCGATTCTGAAACTTCCACACCTCGCCAATATTTACACATTAAGAGATTTCGACAAGAACTTTCACTTTGTGGCCACTTGATACACTCCACCAGACCCTAAAGCCTCCATTTCTGGACTTAAAAAGTCTAACAAAAGAACGTCTGCGGATGAAAGCAAGGAAGTTGAGCTTTTGTGTATCTTTTCACTCCCTCACCCTCGAGTTGGAATGAAGATGTACAAACTTTCGACATCACTTGACCAGTCTTTATCTCGCACCATTGAGCTTAATGTTCAAAAATTCACGTGAAGTCAGCACACGAGCTCGCAAAAGCTCATAAAAGGTCATAAAGATGGCTCAAATTGTTTTCCATCACTTGTTGAGGGTAAATGAGAACATCCAGAGGGTGAGAAGGAATAATTGTTTCACTTTATTTAATTGCCGCGGTCTTTCTTGTTGATTCAGCCTTCAATTCCATCTCAAATGGTAATTTTTTGCAATTCTACCACGATAATTATCGCTGGCCTAACTTTTGCCACTCAAAAGCCATCAATTATGTGCCTCGTGAATTTTTTCTCGGCACTTGGAGGACTTCTTGTTGGGACGCGTGTTGAATTCAGACGAAAAATTTTCATAATTCATGAATACAATTAAAATATTATCTTGCAATTTTCATTACGTTTTCCTCTTGTGCCACTCATTGTAATTCACAAGGCGACGGGGAGGAGAAGTTAAACGCTCTGTTGAATTTCCAGAAAAGCTCTCATTTATTAACGAACGGTGATATTTTGTACTATTGTACTACTTAAAGAATATTCATTGTTCCTCGACTTTCGATGGATAATTTGAACTGTCTATCATCTTCACAATTAGAACAGATTGTAATAATGGTAAGAATGTTCTTCCTGTAATTTGTTACAATTCATCAAAGGTGAGACATTTTCATTACAAATTCTCTTCATATGATATAATTGCTCCACATGGAGACCGATAATGGACAATATAGCCTTTTCAATGGACAATAGCCTTTTCTTACTTTGACATAATAGAAAAATACATTTTCTACACCTCGCCATTTTGCATGATGGTTGTAAGAGTGTGTTCATCACGGCGTACACGTGACTTCACTCTGGTCATCTCAGTTCGTGACAAATTGAAGTGTTGCAGTTCGCATCATGTTGGATTATTGCCTACATGGGTTGAATCAGTCGGTAAAGAATGGGTCTATACGATGTAAAATGTTATATTAATTGTTCGTCAATTGAATGTATACCATCTCTTATTGATTTTCTATCCGACAAGGGATTGATTTGCATGCGAAAAAACCACAAAGCAAAGAAATTCAGGGAGAAGTGAAGCGTTGCAGGGAGAATTTATGTGGTTTAAAGCAGACAAGTAGATAGCGGAAGGGGAAATGGAGAAATTTATGGTGTGCAAAATTGAAAAAGAGGGTATACGTAAGAGAAAAGCAAAGATAGGAGAGCAGAAATTCAAATAGAAAAAGATTTTGCTTTATTTCTACTGTGGAGAGATTCTCTACGATTGTTTCATTCGACTGTACCTGAAGTGGTAGGCGTTGTCGCATCGACGGTCGTTGGTTCTTCTTGAATGAGCACAGCAGCAATTCTCGCATTCCCTTCCGGAAGTTGCGACTTAGGAATGCATACAGGATTGGATTGACGCCTGAATTAAAGTATGTCACCAAAAAAGTGAGTGGAGTGAAGAGAGCGTTGAAATTCGATGCTCCTTTGTAGTCATTCGACCTGAATTGAGTGATGAGAAAATTGTGAGGGAAATAAGCTCACTTCTTAAAATGATTGACTATATTGTCAATGTGATCGTTTATGGAAAAAAGACTGTGTTTCGTCGCAAAAGAATGTTGTCATGACTTCATTAAAACTTTGTTAACAGGGCTTCCGAACAATAAAAGTATAGATGAACCTTCTATCATTGTATTAAAGCTCAATAATACGAATACCAGGAATTGAGTAGAAACGAAAGAATTTTTGATGATAAGAAGTCTTGAAATAGTAGAACTGAAGTAATTTGAATTCCACTACAGTTTCCTTATCCAGAATTCTCTAAGTGTTAACGGTTTAAGCATGCATGCACACTTTATAATGAAGAATATCGATTAAAACTTTCGAACTTATTCTCTTATGCACATTGCATTTCACGGTATTTATTAAAAATGATTCTCAATGCAGAGAGAACAGAGAGGGAATGCTGAATAGTTTAGTAAAATAAATGTAGAGGTTGTCTTACCAATATTGCCACATCTTCCGGGCATGAAATGGCAAGTTACATAGGGCGAATGTCAGCACAACTACCATCAGCATCCGGATGACTCCGCGTCGTGCCCTCAGAACATTGCTCGAGGAATGTGAGACTTGCGTTAATTGAGTGCCGACGTGATGCATGTGCTGATGTCGAGGATTCCGGAAGCTCTGTGTTCTCCACGTTGTGCTTTTCTCGCCCGACATTGACACTTTTGTCTATTGAGAGGAAGGAAATTTAAATGAGACACGAATTTAATCGTATTTCTCGGGGCTTAACTCCACCCCCATAATGAATGGCATAAAGAATAAGACCAAAAGCATCCAAAGAGGAACACAAATAACAATTTGGAGGCGCGCCCTTTGGGAGCCACAAAATTCTTTTAAATCACTTTTCGAGCTTTAAATAACAGACCCTGGATTCATTCTAATTCACAAAGAGGTACTTAATTCTCATTTAATCTCCATATCGTCAATCATCCAAAATGCGTTTGCAAATATTTCTAGACAAATTTATGAAGAAAAATCCCTCCAACCAGGAAAACTCTCGCACACGGAGTGCGTAGAAGGAAATTATACGGTAATTTGAAAAGGAAATCAATTTGATGGAGTTCATAGACCCACGTCACAGCCAATTTTTTCCATTAAAGTTTTCCCTCGTGAATTAAATTATTTTTTGATTGTAAAATCGAAGCTTTCGCTGGGAGGCGTTTTTGACGAATTTCCAAGAGATTTTTACTGAAAGAAAATATGAGGGTTATTTCCATTTGCCATTGAAGGAGAAGAGAGCATTTTCGTGATAAATTATATCATGTAGAGCCGCATAAATTGAGTGAATAAATTGAGGATAAAATATTTTCCCCGACCTCTAAGATCCCAAACGAATAGTCACTTTTGTGGGGATTGGTAGGGAAATCACCTTGTCCCATTTCATATGGTATACATAATCTAATCGCTGTGTGAGTCTCACAACAACTGCGCATTTATTCCCAATTGCAATCACATCACAGATTGTTTTGTCATTTTCCCACGAGGGAGGGAATATGTATGTCTTAAGCAAGGCTGTTTACGATACGTAATATCCTTGAACTTATTGTGAAGATGCTTTAAAATAAATATTTTTTTTGTAATATGCTTCTTTTATATACAATCATAAATACACTTTTATATGGTCAGTGAATTGAAAACAAGCATTTGTGTAGCATCAAATCCCTTTATGCTTCCGGCAAATGTTTTTGAAATATATATGCTAATAAAACATCAGAAAATTCCCCTAAGGATATTGGATTTGACTTTTCACACGAGTGATATGTTTTTGTAAACATTTTAATATTTTCCCCAAATTTATGAGTTAATAAAAATAAATCCGAAATTGTGTTTGAGCAGCTTTTGAATATTGACTGAATATAAATTTCAAGACTCACCTGACTTTCGACGATATCAAACTGTCTTCGATGATTTCTTGGCCTCCGGCACGATGCATTCATCGTGTTGAGATGCTGAGGACTTTCATATCCCAACTGCGTGGTATCACTATTATACTGCGGTGTATTCTTCATCATAATATTCCTCTCGAGCCCTTGAGAGCTCTTCCATAGCGTTATTGCGATTCGACTATACAGGATCTGCGTCACACGAAGAAATATTTTAGCTACACTTCAACACGAGAATTACTGTGGGTGGCTCGAGGATGGAAAAGGAATCAACTATACAGAATAGGAAAAGTTGAATTGGCTAAGAAGAGTGTACACAGCGTCTCATGTTCACTAAACATGCTTCTTTTCGTTAAAGGGATTTACTGAATCAAAATTTACTCGTGAACACGCGATGTTGAGTGACTTATTGCCCACCAGAAAATGCCGGTATTATTTAGGTATAGCAATTAAGAGGGCAATAACATAAATTGGAGAAACACCAGACTGAAAAATACTGGCGAGAAATACTGTGTTTTGATTGCTGCTGAAATTGCAAATTAAAAGCATACCGAAACATAATGAATATTGGAAAATCATTAGACGTTCATTCAAAGTTCTTGACTAGCGACGATCAGTCGTAATTGATTTTTAATGAATGGTATTCAAATTTATTTGATAATAGATTTTTAATTACAAGTTGAAATGTAAAAAAAAACAAATTTACTGGAACAATTTTAATCTCTATGAATTCTTTATTCCATTTTTGATGAGTCCATATTTCACAGCACAAACGGAAACATTTCTATAGAATTTCACAAACGATAAATGTCACGGTTGGTTCAGAACATTTCGCCAATTTCACTCATGAATCCTGGCACTGCTTCATATATCCTTCAAATAAATTTACACAAGAGTTTCTTGGTTACTCAATCTTATTGAGTGCTGGTAATAAGAGGAAAATCCTCAAGTTTGAAAACTTTCCCGACATGTCATATTAAGTTGATGTGTGACGATTTTCCCTGCAGCGTTATAAAATCACTTGAGGGTGCTTCTAATCCGTCGGAAAGCTCCTGCTATGCAAATATCCCACCTTGAGGAGTGACATGAGAATGAATTGATTCAAGTTATCTTTGTTTACAGCAGAAAAGTATATTTAAATTTTATTGTGGGGGTTGATAGACACACCAAAACAGACTTATTTTTAACTATTTGGTACAAATTCATAAACAAGACAAATTGACGTATTTTGTGTGGTTTGATTTATGATTTTGTTATACTTAATGACCGCAACTAATGTGAAATATTGTGGTTTGACTATCATCATTTACACATCATCTTATTGAATGACGGTTTTCTGATTAATAAATAACCATTGATGGCTAATACATTGGCATGAAAATGATTTCTATAAATCTTTCGCGTTGTTTCAGGGATTTTGGAGGAAAATAAATTTTCTGTCACAACGTGGAAGATTTACTGTATAATGTACATATAATACAAAATCTTTTACACTCTTTCACGCAGAAATGTCACCTGTAAAGTGAGACGAAACGGCAAAGACGCCCTACAATAGATAACAATTTATCGGCATCAAAAGCCTCAAATGATGAACATCCCATTTGCGAAATCCACCAACATGGGAAGCATAATAAAATCTAGGAAAGCGTGAGATAATTCTGAGATGATGATAGTTCCGCCACGTCGTAAAATTGACCGTAAATTTTAGTATTTTGTTAAAATCACCATCCATTCTTCGGCCTATCGCCAATTTAGTGACGCAGAATTGTCGTGCAAAGCTGAGAGTGTGAAATATCCATTATGGGGCAAAAGTGTTAGGGCGTATTTGTCGTAAATTTTGAAGGTTACCGTGGGAAAGCAGTGATAGGAAATTACTTTTACATCATCAATCATAAATAAAGCCTGGTCCTTCGCAACTCTAACTCTTTTCGCTTCCTAATATTAAATTGCTGTAAATCCATCTGAGAGTTACAATAAATGGTGAATTTCCTCACTACATACTTAATACCATTTCCTTTAAAATTTGCCATTTGGTTCCTTTGGCTTGATTAGAGGAAGGAAAACAGGAGATCACTGATGTCTCGTGGGAAACATTTCCCCCATCGTCATTTCATTTCGAATGAGATATCAGCCTGGCACGTGCAACCATACATGGAATGTCTTTCAATTCCATTTCAGAGGAAGGATAGAGAGGCGTAGATTGATGTCTCAAAGTGTTCATTTGAATGAAAGCTCGTGAAACTGTGATTAGATCGAAGCAGGGTGATTTTTAGGGGTTCGTCTTTTCCATCCATGCAAAACCACCCGAAGAATAAATCGAAAAATACCCAAAAAAAGAGAAAGTCTCGAGTAAAAGGTAGATCAATCATGCGATGAAAACTCACCGTCATCACAAGGAGAGGTATGACGTAGAGTAGGCCAAAATTGATTAAATCAAACAATTTGGAGTCGTAGCGCTTTCTGTACATGATGCAGATTGTCTCAGTCGTGCCATCACCCAAATCATTTGTGATGGTTCGCACGAAGATGAATTTGGGGATTGAATAGACGGCCGATGTTATCCAGACGCCCCCAATCACCAGCTAATAGAAACAAATAAATTCACCATTAGTACAAATTTACTGAATAATCACTGTCTCTAACAATAAAGAAGCCATATTGTCTTTAGAAGCTCTCCCACAAGCTCACCCTTCATTGATTTATTTGGGTCGCATATACAAAATCCGTTCATGGACTTTGCCCTCCTATGAAAATAAACTTTCGGAAAGTTTCGACGATTCAATTAGCACTACAGATTAAATTAGCACGCATCAGAAAGAGAATTGGATATATGTTTTACTAAATTAGGCAAATTGTAGGAAAATCCGAACAATTAAATTTGCCACAGAGAAACATACGTAAAAGGATTAATTTAAGAACGTTATTAAAATGTTTTCAAATTTGAGGACTACACATGTGAGTCTGCACGGAAAGTTTAATTGAAATTATTACTTCTTGCACACATTAAGTAATCTCATAATAACATTCGGAAATTGTGTATAAAGTCGAGATTTCCATGATGTGTGAAAACACTGAATTAAGCACACTGTTATAAATTTTCAAGAGCATGAAAACTTAAATCTTAATGCCGTTATCCTCTGAGTAAATTTACATGAATTTATATGGGGACACGTTTGCTGTAAGCAAAACTTGCAGTTTATAATTTGGTCGAATTTGCAACATTTTAGAAATTTAATTATGTGTGGAGAGCATAATCATGAAAGTCATCGTTTAAATCACTATCTCATGTCTGCTATGAGGTAAGATAACATAGTATTTGAATTATGCGCGTACTGCACTTAATTAAGGAGGCTTGAAGAATGCAAAATGTAAGAATACTTTATTTGAGGGTTTTCTTTTGTGGGCAAAATTTAATTAAGAACATGAAACGGAGAGGAATGCATGCAAATAGTTGATTTCATGCATTCGGTTTACAGCAAGGAATTTTCATATGAGAATTTTTTGTTCAATACCTTTCGAGGCCGACACTTAATGCAAAACATTTGGTTATTCTAAACATTCTGATCATAAATATATGCATTTCTGTATATATTTCTCTAACAAATAAATTCTCATCTACTAATGCATTGAATTAAAAATTAAATACAGTATTTATGAATGCCTTCAAGATACAGTCAATATTAACAGCTCATAACTTCCTATTGAATATGAATCCCAGGGTCAGAAGTGGAAGTAACTTTCCATTAACATTGCTAAAAGATCACAACAAAGCTCATCAGTTGAACCAACTTACCCGAAGCCTTGTGGACGTTAGAATCTGTTTGCATGTAATTGGGTGGATAATGGCGAAATAGCGCTCCATGCAGATTACCACAAGGATGAAAATGCTGGCGGTGTAGCTCAACGAGTGGGTGAATTGATACATTTTGCACAGGAAGTCTCCGAATACCCAGCTGTCGAGATATAACACCGACGAGATTAGATGGGATGAAATGGATTCGCTATGCAGCTTTTCAGTTTATACACACAGCATATACAGTCCAGACTTATAATTTCGGAATTATATTAAATGAAATTCATCACTTCATTTCTGCGGTTAGTCACTTGAAACGCCAAAGGGTTGAATTTTAAATTGTATAAATGAAAATTAAATCTGTGTGAAATTTCGCAGTTTGGTCTGCCGCAGCTTTAGGGATTTTATAGGATTTCTGACAGCGCACAATATAATGTAATTCAGCATCGGAAACAGGATATAAATTAGTCACAAGATGCTGCAATCAGCAAAGTTCAATTTTACTTTGAATAATGTTCTTCTCCAGAGCAACATTATGCAGGAGAAATTGCAAATATTTCTATTGTATAGAATTCAATACATTTTCAATATGTCAATTCAATGAAAAACTCAATTGAGAAATTTTTCTCATGGTTGAATTGAAGATAATTTTCCGATATGCGCCATATAAATTTATTCAAAAGAAATTAACACTCGAGGAGTCGAAGATATAAAAGTCAATTTTTACGTAGTCAAATTAATTAAAATTGTTAAAATTGCTGTAATATAGAATATGATTTTCTAGAAATTGCGTGAATTAAAGGAGTGGAATAATTATTTCTCAAATTTATAGGGGTAGAATGAATAGCACTTTGAAGTCAAAGTTCGGTATTAATTTGCGTTACTTGTTATTGACCTATAATTTTAATTTCGGTTTTAAGAAATTTGTGAGTAATTTATAGCAATTCTTTACACAAATTGCTTCATATTCTATAACGTTAAAATATTGGAAATGGATTTATGGTGACAGTGATATTTTTTAAAATCTGTATTCTGATTGAAATTCTGTTTGAAAAGTTTGTGTGCTAGTTAGAACTTACCTGGGGATGAGATAAATTGACAAATTCTGCATGACACAGAAGACGCCAACACAGAAATCTGCGACAGCCAGATTGGCAAGGAAGAAATTTGTGATTGAGCGAAGACGTCTCGACATTGTTACGACAAGGATAACAAGGAGATTTCCTGGAAAAGAGGCAAAAACTTTCTCAGTCATCGTTTTTTTTTTCGTCAAAAATGTGCCACTTACCACAGAAGCAACAGCAGAAAACCATGAGATAGAGGGTGAACATGACGATTCTCACGTCTGTTCTATCAAAGATGAACTCATTGCTCGGCGCTGAAATCTGCACAACACCATCGAAACCCGCGAGCGATGTATTAATACTGGATCTGTTACTCTCACTGCCATTGCCGAATGCCACGAGGAATGTGTCTCTCACTAGTGTCAGATTTTCACCCACATTCACCGAATTATTCCACGAATTCTTCATATTCTGCACACCTCCCACAGATTGGGCTCAAGAAGATGGGTACAAATCGCGGAAAGTACTGTGAAATGATACAATTGCATTGATAATTAATGATTTCACATTTTACTACCAAATCCACAAAAACATCTCTCTCAAATCGCGCACAAATAATGTCGAAAAGTGAAAATCCAGGTCATTTGTCAGGATTATGACATCATGCAATATACGTAAACGATTCCGTGATAATTAAAAATGACTTTTACAGATTTTTAATTTAAAAAAAATGTAAGTGGTGCCTATCAATACGTCAATAGCTGTTGTGATTTTATTTCAAACGAGTACTGGTGAAGGTACAAAAATAGATCTGAATCATTTCACAGATCGGAAAGATTTCTACTTCTAGGAAAATCAAAGTCTGTAAGATTCTTTCATCCCATAAAAGAGTCTTTTTAAAGCTTTCATGAGCTTACGGAAATCGAAATGGTAACGAATGCTGACGCATTTGAACAGCCTTAGTGCGATGCCTTTCCCTCTCAGAAATATAAACAATATCCCTCTTGTTTCAATATTTGGTCAAGGATTGAGAGCATTGAGAGTCAATGCTCGTTCTCAGTCTTTCTCCATCAATGTGCCCACTTCTTAGCTTTACTGACCAAAATATATTCACAAAGTTCACAAAACAGTTCTTCTCGTCCAAGTATACGTGTTCACTGATCTCACAATATTTACCAAAGAACTCTTTTAGACATATGTAGGTATGTGGGAAAGGAACAAACCTAGTGAATTACAAACTCAACCTAATTTTCTATACATATTTCATTCCCGTAAACAATCATCAAAACACATTTCTCGAATATAAAATTTCTCTTTACATTTGAGATAATAAAATTTGTGAATTTATTTGTGAACATTCAGCAGAAGATTTCAATGATTCGACTGAAATAATCCGACCCCATAAATCCGACTGAGAAGGATGTGTTGAGCATCATTGCTAGACAATGCTAATAAATTTCAATGGAAATGTTTGGGCATATCGCCTACTTCATTTTATGCTCAATTGAAGGGAACATTTACACACGTGGAATTTTCGAAATTATTTCTTTATCCAAATCTGGAGAGAAGAACAATTTGAATAATTGAGAAAAAAATCCACTGGATGGAACAGGTCGTCAAATGCCTAAGTACATTTCAATTCTTCACTGAATTATATGTGAATGTATTATTTATGAGAGTTAAAAAGGTTATGAATGTACGTAATATAACATAGCTGGAAAATTGTATTTTTAATTTGAATGAAGAATTTGTTCCGGAATTCTACTTGTGGCTGTTTTTCAGGCTGTTTTCATCAATTCAATTTGCATATTTCCCCGTTAAAAGTATTTCATAGAAAGATAAATAGCCGTCTAATGGGTGAAAATATGCTAAAAATTCCAAATAATCGACATTTTTCTGACAATTATTTTGACTAGACGAAAAAATAAAGGCGATCAAAGGGAAACTTCAAGAGTGCTGGGGAAGCGGTGAGTGAAATTGAGTTATCATCTAATAATGTTGACTTGAACGACTCGAACCTTTATAATTGAATTTTCAGAATAATTCCATTTTCTCCAACTGATGGAATCTTTTCAAAATCAATTTTATACAGCCTACAATTGAAGAAGTGTTTGAAATAGGCTTTAATATATCTATTTTAATTGATGTTTTTGAAAGTGTTCAACAGTGATGAATTATTCTCTGAATTGACACTCTGACAGAAAATCAGCAGCATATAATGTAATATAACGTATTATATTTATTTCAATTTCATTGTTGTCTCAGGCAATTGAATAAATGAGTTGGAGTAATAAATCAAGTGAATGCCAAGGAGAGTCCTTAATAATAAATATATTTACCAAGAAGGACATTACTCTTCAGGCACGTGTAAAAGGAGCATGTAATTTTCAACACAATTTCATGTGATAAACGAATCTCAAAATAGATGGACAACTCTTTCTTTGCAATTACCGCCCAATTTACACATCACAAGTCCCTGTCAATCTCATTCCTCTTGTCCTTCCCAAGTAAGAAAGAACGATAAATTTATGAGAATTTAATTACAATAGAATCACTTATTCAGTATTTGTCTGCCGGATGTAAAGGAAAAGAATAGATTTTTCAAAAGCACTTTATCTCAAGCAATTGCCGTGAATTTTCCTTAAATGATAATAATTGAAAAAGCCTGGTTAGAATAAATTCAGGATAATTTGGTAAATAATCATTAAGAGTTTCTTGCCATGTCATAAACTCCGCCTCGGGCATTTTCTGCCTCCCAAGTGGTTGGACTAAATGGAATTTGTACTGTTCAGAGTGACACAATTCACAAAAAGGGGCTCCTGAGAAAATAAGCAATCCCAAAGAGAATAAATGCTGGGCCTTTGAATATCTTCGCCCACCGCTAAGTGTCTGACGGGCGGCGAAAAATGCGACGGAAAGCTTTCTCCAGAAGTAATCTCCAGTGGACAAATAATGATTCCCCGTCACCAGAGAGATTAAGTTCACTGCCATTGTCCTTAGACAACCGCCGGGGATAATCATAAGCTCTTTGTCTACACAGACTCTTTGTGCATGGCGAATCATCAAATCACTTTTATTATTAAATGTTTTATGGAGCTTTGGCCCACACTTCCACTACATATTCTTCTGAGTTTTATTAGTTCCAAAATATCACAAGTGTGTAGACTGCATACACTTGCCTTTTATTGAGCCAAGTCAAATACCGAATTTAATATTGCAACTTCTCAGACTTCTTGCTTCACTAAAGAATGTGCTCTAAAACTCTTAGCATTAAATCCTGTTTGACATTCGACTTTGAACATTCCAAACATAGCCACAAACTTTAAGTCAAACCCGTATCTTGTTCATGCAAACAATGTTGCCAAAGTACACAAGAATTAAAGGTGCCATTTTTTAGACACACTCATATAAGCATTCATTAATCATGCACACTAAATACGAGACGGACAGAACCGCAGATTTATCCAAGATTTATTTGGAATTAACACAAATGCGAACATGGGTTTTTGGCCTCTGTCAAATATTTGTGTTTGATCTTAAGACAATATTTAATTAAGGCGTGTTTTTCATGAATGTAAAGTGTAATTGGTAAAGAATTCCTGGAATTTACTTAGTCTTATAGGTGAAATTTAATTTATGTTTTTGTAATTAAAGGACTTCTAGCGTGTCTCAGTCGAATAATTGAAGATTTAATCTATATATTTCACAGTCTCAAAATATAAATCCTAATTCTTAATTATCTAGAATTGTTGACAAAGAAGCATGCGATAAGAAATGCTAGACTGTTATGTAAAATATACAATTCAGTGCATTTCTTCATTAATTTCAAGTTGTCTTTAAAACTCATCAAAATTTCAATCAAAAATTTAAATTGCTGGGGTCTTCTTCAATTTACAGACACCTGTGTGGAGGTAAAACTTTTATTTACTCTATAAAATCCTGAACCTGTCTCAAACAACATTCGGAAGGAAGTAGCGCATAAAACTTTGAAGAGTAATGCCATCAAAGATGTTGCTTCGCATGCTTCGAGAATTTTTGGGGTTTCGTCCGTTTCGTTCAATGCCTCATGAGAAGTGCTTTCTTGTTGAATAAACTTTAGGTACAGTTAAATCGCCCCTCTTGAGAGGCATTATTCAGAAGTGATCACCTTTCCAATGACAATGTGTCTCACTGTCAGTTAGTTACTTGCTTTTTTGTCTCCCTCCAAAATTCTCCCTTTAGTCTAATGGCACAATAGAAGAGAAACTTTTACCATTTTTCTTTTTTCACATCTCAGCAGAAGAAGAGCGGAAAATTCATCAGAAAGATTAAAGAGAACAAAAAGCGACATGTGCAAAGAATAAATAAATAGGAGACGCTTTTATTATCCTAATTCTCTTTTGAATTGAATTTTCCCTTTTTTATTGTTGAAAGCAACAAATTCAATTTAGACGCCACCAAAAGATCTCAAAAGCACTCAATTGCGATATTATGAATTTTGCTAATATAATGAAGCGAATGCAGCAATTTTCGCGAGATAACCCAGAAATTTCATCTTCTGGGCATTTTGCCATACAAATTTGTATTTCAACATTACAATAAAGCCTCACTCAAGATGCCACAATGCTTATGACGTGCTTGAAATCTGTGTCTGCGCCGCTAGATTTCACTAAAATAAACTCAATTCAAAATTATCTATTTGTTATATTGAAACCATAACTCGCTGATGCACAATTCAAACAGTCTGGCAACCTTCGTTCTCTGTTGATCTTCATCAATCATTGGGCGCTTCCACTTCTGGCTTGGCAAAACTTGTTGCAATTTCCCCACGCACAACACAATTTTTCCCATTCATTATTCCAGTACAAATGCATGATGTCAACTAAGTCAACATTATCACGGAAATTTACGATTGAGTGGTTCTTTGATTTGAAGACATTTATTTATTGAAACTCCGCCAAAAATAGTCTCAATCTGCATAAACGGAAGACGATGATTTTAGCAACAGTGCTAATTTTGTGGAATATTTGAAGATTAATATTTCATTTGAACACAAAAGTGCAATTTCTCCTTATTACGATTATAATATAATATATATACCTGTATAGATTTATCACGGTATATATTCAAAATATTTGTTGAGATTCTCTTTTCTGATTGTGAGTTTGAGTCTTAATTTTCAAAAGCTTCCCTCCTAAAACTTCATTGAAATCTAAGAGAGTGGATTTATCTTTATTCACTCTTATTTGATAAATTGCCTTCAGTCTGTAATATTTTGTTATCTCTGATATTATCCGGCGACCCTGTGATTCACGAGATGAGAGAGAGAGAAATTTTCGCGAAAGGTGGAAATGTTAACAAATGCGAGAAGAATTGCTGAAAAATATCTGAATTGTGAGTACACTTGAGACCTTTTTGGGATCTGTTTTCCTGCGATTTCTTTCACTTTCAGCCTCTTCACAGGTGGCACAGGTATATCACTATAAATTTACATAAATCCCATTAACGCTGGCAATTCTCACAGACAAATATCACTAGATAAATCTTCACTCCACGATTCATCATCTGCCTTTCCCACCGTCACTTTGCTCCCCATTCACGAACGAATATCGCACAATTATTTACAGATAAAGCAGATTTGGAGTCTGTTGACAAGGGATCCCTATCCTGGGAATTTTCTTGGCCATTTATTCACTAAAGAGGACTCTATGTAAAGCACTTTACACACTTGACTATACTGTGAAGTCCTCTTGGAGCTCTCGATGCTTCCACATCAGTTGACGATCGCCGAGCAACTGATGTGAGAACGTGAATGACTCAAGAGGGAAAACTCTTCACTGGCGCTTTCCCCAATTTCCATTCGAATCGTGCGCAATTCGTGTAGTTTGGACACAGGAAAATTCGTATCACAATGCACGATTTTTTTTTGCTTGTGGCAATATCAAACAGCAAAAACAATTAGTTCCATGTTCCATCTCTTATAGTCTATGCAAAAGGCACATTTCATTACACATCGATACGTGTTCCATTGATTTGTGAATTGACAGAGGAAATGAAAATTCTTTCTCCGGCAAGCGAGAAATTTGTTGGCAGTTCTGTGAAGTTCTGTGGGCGGCATAGTTTGATGATTCCAACGAATTTTTTCTGTATATTTGTGTATCGTAACAAACTTGTTCATTTGATTTTTTGCGCAAACAGACAACCTAATTAAATCTCTAAGTGGTGAATAATTGAATACTTTTATCTGCCAATTCCACCCGCAGTTCAATGCAAAATTCAAAAGCAAAACCAATTGCAACTTTCACCAAGTTCTGTAACTCTATAAATTGATTTGTTCGCATCAATATTTAAACTACACAAGACAGACAACTCATACTGCCCAGAAACGATTTGAAAAGCTATTTTTATGTATCTTCTCTGTGTTTGACAGGAGATGCAGAAGCGTCAATATTTTTAAGAAACAGCAAATAAAGATTCAAGATAATCGTTCTGAAGTCTTCTCCCTTATTTTCTCGAAAGTTTCACCAGTAATTTCGTCACTTTTATCACTTCCCTACTGTAATTCTTGCTT